CTCCTCTTGTATAAATAAGCCCTCTTTCATGAGCCTTTTCATCATCAAGCACAAGCATTATCAATTCAGCCATCAAAAGTTTCTCTTATTTACTTTCTTTTTTCCAATCTTCCAAACAAAAAAATGGCAATAATCAGTACTAAGAAACTCATCAAAATGGTTAGGAAATGGCAGAAGTTTGCAGCCATGCAGAGGAAGAGGATTTCATTTCCAAGAAATGGTATTGATGCAGACAGTTGCAGTACATCTGCATCCTCTATTGTTGAAAAAGGCCATTTTGTATTATATACAATCGATCAAGTACGCTTTGTGATTCCCTTAGGCTTATCTTGAAAATGAGTCCATTCAGCAACTTTTAAACCATGCCGAAGAAGAATTTTGGGCTGCCGAGTGGTGGTCCTATTACATTACCTTGTGATTCAGCCTTCATGGACTACATCATTTCGCTTGTTAAGAAAGGCGTAACTGCAGGAGATCTTCACAAAGAGTTGCTCCTCTCAATTCCTTCATGTTGCTATTCAACTTCATATTCACACCTAGAAAGTGGAAACCAACTACTTCTTGTTTGTTGAGTTATAATCAACATCGTTTTCAATACATGATAGCTCAAAATAGTTTTTAGATACAGCATAGACTGAAGAACACAATTGTAAAGAACATCATACAGATTGAATATTAATTTATAAGAAAATTTACCGTATATATTCAAATTTTTCACTTTTACATTTGGTTATGAGTAGACTTAACAATCTGATCCTGAATTGGTACCACTTATGTATTAACACCACTTTGTTTATCACAAGCATTTCACTTACTGTGGTACCTCCTTGATCGAATAAGGTCTAAATGATCAATCAATCAACTATACCTCCTTTTATGTATGTTCTAATGAGGCTTTGCTGAAGTATCTCACGGCTTGTCTTCTAAGTTAGCATCAAGTGTTAACATTTTGTGGTATTTTCAGAAGCAATTAGGTGATAAAACAGTATGAGCTAACAAGTCTTGAAATCTAAAGGAAGACTCAAGTATGATATTAGAACAACTAAAGATATCCTTAAAATTCGATTAGATTGAATAAGTGAAGTTATTTGACAGTTCCCCTTTTTTCAAGATATAATTTTTAACTCTAACTGATGATCTACGAATAAACAAGAAACACATAATCTTGAGAAATGCACAGAAAAGGAAAGTGTTTGTACTGTGTATGAATAAGTTTATGGCAAATCTTACATCCAAAAGTTTATCCAAATATACAGACACTAAACTTGTTGAATAGTAGCCCACATTGCTTCTCAGTTCTCATAACTTGGAATCAAGGACATCCTAAATTTTAAAGCCTCAAGTATAGATAAAGCTGATGAGTTGGTTCCGCTACGTAATTTCTTGTTACTTATCACAGATGTCATTCTCATTCCGCTAAAACGATACTTTCTTGGATGTGCTAGTTTCCTCCACACAGTGCAATTCTAAATGAATAACAGCATTGTATAAGAAAAGATAAGCAAAATAAGTGATTATAAGAAAAAGACACTTCTGCTATTCATAAATTGATAATGGAAACAATTTCTATTGATTTTGTGTTTCTGAACTATACATTAAAACTTCCTCTTTGTATCTTTTGTATCTCCTAATTCTAATATCTAAGTCTACTACTCTACAAAATTTCATGTGCAAGAGAATTTGCACTTTGATACAATTCATGATCTCAAGCGGGATGTGAGATCAACAAACACGTCTTCTTTGCAAGGTATTGTGAGACAGCCCATTGGATGATCGAAGCCAAACTGTTCTTCTGCTTGAGTTAACAAGTCTTGAAATAAAGGCTGGCTCAAGTAAGATATTGGCACAACGAACCTCTTCTTCAGGCTCTCTCCTACATATACTGCACAATGTCCTTGTGGAACACCTTTGGAGTTTGAAAACCTCCTCAAGATTTTAGTTCCTTGAATAAGGGGACTCATTTTGATACCCATAGGGGGATACTTTTGTAACTTCAAATGATGACTTTAAATGAAAAAGACTGAAGGATTTTGAGTAATACACAGCGAGTGAGACTTGTGTTTTGCATAAAAAACTTTCTATGGATGTTATATATACAAAGTTAGTGGTAAGTTTCATATCCAAGTTTAATGGTGAAGAGGATTTGGTTGCCACTGTTGAGAGACAATAGCACATGAAGCTTCACATGGCTTTGCTTACCCTGTTATTGTCAAGTATTCAGACAATAAATTTGTTGAAAAACAACATAAGGCCCCAATTTTATTTTACGGATACACCTAAAATAAAATCGACAAGGATTGATGAAGTTGATGCCAAGATGAAAATCTTAAGGTCACCTATCTACATGACAAAGAAGTGAGAAGAACATGATTTTGCTTCTCACCAGCAATTGTTCATTTAATAGTCTCAAATTATTGGCATCGCTGAGAAATACCAAGTAGGCCTAGAGAAGAAAGGAAGAAACTCATCATCCACAAATTTAAGGCCCCATATTAACATGGCCAACAGGCATCAGCACATGGCTTTGCCTTACAAACTTATCAGCTCCTCTTGTATAAATAATCATCTTCCATGAGCCTTTTCATCATCAAGCTTAAGCATTATCAACTCAGCCATCAAAAGTCTCTAAATTTTTTATTTACTTTCTTGTTTCCAATCTTCCAAACAAAACAAATGGCAATGATCAGTACCAAGAAACTCATCAAAATGGCTAGGAAATGGCAAAAGTTTGCAGCCATGCAGAGGAAGAGGATTTCATTTTCAAGAAATGTTAGTGATGCAGATGATTGTAGTACGTCTTCATCGTCTATAGTTGAAAAAGGATATTTTGTAGTATACACTGCTGATCAAGCTCGCTTTGTCATTCCATTGGTTTACCTTGAAAATGAAGTCATTAGGCAACTCTTGAACATGTCCGAAGAAGAATTTGGGCTTCCGAGTGGTGGTCCTATTACATTACCTTGTGATTCAGCCTTCATGGACTACATCATTTCGCTAATAAGGAAAGGCGTAACTGCAGGAGATCTTCACAAAGCATTGCTCCTCTCAATTCCTTCATGTTGCTGTTCAACTTCTTCTTTCCACCAAGAAAGTGGAAACCAACAGCTTCTTGTTTGTTGAGACATAATCAACATTCTTTTTGTTACATGCTAGCTCAAAATAGTTTTTAGATAGGCCATAGACTGAAAAACACAATTGTAAAGCGCATCATACAGATTGAATATTATTTTATCAGAGAAAATTTACCATATCCATGGCTTTCACTTTTACATTCAGGTATGAGAAGACTTAACAATCTTATCCTGGATTGGTACCTCATATGTATTAACACCACTTTGTTTATTGCAAGCATTTCACTTACTGTGGTACCTCCTGGATCGAATAAGGTCTAAATGATTGGAAGTTTGACTCTAAGGAGATCAATCAATCAACTATGCCTCCTTTTATGTATATGCATTAGTATGTGTTCTAATCAGGCTTTTCTGAAGTATCTGCATCAGGGTGGCAGAGATGAGAGAACGGCATCTGAAGTATCGCAGGGCTTCTCTTCTAAATTAGCATCCAATGTGAATATTTTGTGGTATTTTCAGAAGCAATTAGGTGATAAAATGATATGAGCTAACAAATCTTGAAATCTGAAGGAAGATTCAAAGTATGATACTAGAACAACTAAAGACATCCTTAAAAATTTATTAGATTGAATAAGTGCAACTGTTGCATGCAGAGGCTTAATTAGTTTGTTTAGAAGAAACATTCTAAATGAATAACAGAATTAGAAGAAACTCTCTCCTACATATACTGCCAAAATACTTGGTCTAGTCAGCTTTGAGGTGTGTTTCGATAAACAATTGATGACAGTTCAGGTAAAAAAAATTTAAAGCCTCAAGTATAGATAAAGCTGATGAAGTACTTGGTTCCGCTACATAATTTCTTTACTTATCACAGATGTCATTCTTATTCCGCTAAATGATACTTTCTTGGATGTGCTTAGTTTGCACCACAGAGTGCAATTCTAAATGAATAACAGCATTGTTTTAGCAAATATAACGATAATATTGATTGTAAGAAACAGCACTTCTGCCATTCATAAATTGTTCATGGAAACAACTTCTATAGATCTTTCTGTTTCTGAACTATACAGTAAAAATTCCTCTCTAATCTCCTCTTTCTAAAATCTAAGTCTACTACTTTACAAAATTTCTATTCTAGAGATTTTGCACTTTGATCCAATTCATGATCTCAAGCGGGATGTGAGATCAACAAACACGTCCTCTTTGCAAGGTATTGTGAGACCACCCATTGGATGATCGAAACCAAACTGTTCTTCAGCTTGAGTTAACAAGTCTTGAAACAAAGGCTGGCTCAAGTATGATATTGGCACGACGAATCTCTTCTTCTGGCTCTCTCCTACATATACTGCACAATGACCTTTGGGAACGCCTCCAGAATTTGAAAACCTTCTCAAGATTCTAGTACCTTGAATAAGGGGACTCATTTTAATACCCATTGCGAGATACTTTTGTGACTTCAAATGACGACTTAAAAGAGAGAATGAAGGATTTTGAGTAATACACAGCAAGTGAGACTTGTGTTTTGTATAAAAAAGCCTTTCTATGTATGTGTATATATACAAAGTTAGATATCTAAATTTGATGGCCACAGCCCACAGGTCAGAGACAATGGCACATGAAGTTTCACATGGCTTTGTTGAAGAACAACACTAGGCCCCAAAGAAGTTGATGCCAAGATGGATATCTACATGACAAAGAAGAGAACAGAACATGGCTTTGCTTCTCACCCGCAATAGTTCATTTAATAGTCTCAAATTATTGACATTGCTGAGAAATACCAAGTAGGCCTAGTTGATCAAAGAATATAAAGGAAGAAACTTAGTAGCTTCATCCACAAATTTTAGGCCCCATACCAACTTGGCCAACAGGCATCAGCACATGGCTTTGCCTAACAAACTTATGAGCTCCTCTTGTATAAATAATCCCTCTTTCATGAGCCTTTTCATCATCAAGCATAAGCATTATCAATTCAGCCATCAAAGGTCTCTAAATTTGTTATTTACTTTCTTGTTTCCAATCTTCCAAACAAAAAAAATGGCACTAATCAGTACTAAGAAACTCATCAAAATGGTTAGGAAATGGCAGAAGTTTGCAGCGATGCAGAGGAAGAGGATTTCATTTCCAAGAAATGGCAGTGATGCAGATAGTTGTAGTACATCCTCATCGTCTATAGTTGAAAAAGGACATTTTGTAGTATACACAGCTGATCAAGCTCGCTTTGTCATTCCATTGGTTTACCTTGAAAATGAAGTCATTAGGCAACTCTTCACCATGTCCGAAGAAGAATTTGGGCTTCCGAGTGGTGGTCCTATTACATTACCTTGTGATTCAGCCTTCATGGACTACATTATTTCGCTAATAAGGAAAGGCATAACTGCAGGAGATCTTCACAAAGCATTGCTCCTATCAATTCCATCATGTTGCTGTTCAACTTCTTCTTTGCACCAACAAAGTGGAAACCAACAACTTCTTGTTTGTTGAGTCATAATCAACATGTTAGCTCAAAATAGTTTTTAGATAGGGCATAGACTGAAGAACACAATTGTAAAGCTCTACAAACAAATTGAATATTATTTTATAAAAAAATTTATCATATATATCCACAGCTTTCATTTTACATTTGGTTATGAGTAGACTTAACAATCTGATCCTGAATTGTAACAACATTGAAATCAAAACTCACCTGATATTCAACAATATCTATAATTAGCTCTTTGGTGACTTCAATCTAGAATTTTTAGCTTATAAATTCTGAATAGATTATCTATACATATTAAATAAATTTTTAACACAATTACACGGTTTGAGCCAAAGCTAGGTTTTTAATAGTCATGAATTGTACTTGTGAAGAAGTTAAGTTAATTTTGTTAGAAGTGATTAAACTTTTTTTATTATATAGTAATAAAATTATTTTAAAAAAATTGTGAAATTAAAATAACTAAACTTTAACCACGTCCATCAAGTTACCATTAAATTAGTAATACTTGGATTAATTATTTTAGTAAATATTTGATTTGTTATATTAAAAATAATATATATTGCATACTTTTTAAGAATAAGTTGTTTATTTATAAAAATATCATAAAAAGGGGTTGAGGGAATACTTTTGTCATTTTAACTATTTTATTCAGGAATATGTTATCCCACAATTTAATACAACAAATCAAATATTTACTAAAAGATAATAGTAGAGTAACTAATCTTAATATAACTAATCTCAACCTAACTAATTTAATCCAAACTTGCTATAGATGGACGTAATTAAAGTTTAGTTACTTTAATTTCACAAAAAATAATTTAATAATTTTATTACTATCTATTGACTTTAGTGTTCTAAGAAAATTAATTTCTCCTCAAGTCCAATTCGTGACTATTATAAACCCTAGCATCCAACTGCATTTTTTCTCTTCTTTTTTTTAAACAACGCTTACATTCAAATTGTCAAGTTCAATCAAATTTGCAAAGGTAATTAATTTCTTTTAGTTCGTATCTTCACTAAGGGGATTCAAATATTCATGAAGAAGCAGAATTTTACCTTGTATATATACCGTGTAATTTTTCAGTTAATTACATTAGAATAACCCCCAAGTGGAGCCATTATTTGGTTCGGCAGAATCAAGTAGCTTTGGCACAAGCCCTGTAATTATGTTACAAATTTGTTTAATATGTAATCTATTCAAAATTCATAAACTAAAAATTATGAATCCGTAACTCTGACCACTATATTTTTTAATTAATTTGCAGGGAAGAGAGTTGTAAAGCAGCCATAAAGCTAATAGATATTGTTGATCATCAAGTGAGTTTTGATTTCAATGTTGTTACAATTTTGTTTATCGTTGATTGGACTATAGTTTCTATACCTATCTTCTTTAAAAAATCTCGTATTTGATGGTCGGCGTGGCGATAGGCTTTGTTTCTGCTTCTATGTATATGTAGTTAATGTTGAATATTCTTGACTTTTTGTGTGTATACTTTTTTATATTAGTGAAAATTCTGACTCCGCCCCTGCTTCCCCGCCGTTGGAATGTGTGTTTGTCCAAAAGATTGATGTCTTTAACTTGTGAAATACTAAAGCACTTGCTTTGTCCTATCTAGGCAATGGAAATTCAATACCAAGAAGGTATAATTATGGACATCCTCATCAGGTCACCCGTGAGGTCTCTTCTTCGATTCAAATGTGTTTCAAAATCTTGGAAGACGTTAATCTCCGAGTCATACTTTAAGATGAAGCATCTCAGTCATGCCAAGAATGACTTAAACTCCCAAAAACTTCTTGTTCGTGAAAGTTTTGCTTCTGGTTTGTTTAACTTCTTTTGTTTTTCTCTATCGACTGATCAACTCATTCGGGATGCACAAAATCGCCCTTCAAAATGCACACCGTTTGGTGGAGCCAATATTTATTCTTGTTGCGATGGTTTGGTTCTTCTTGGACTTAATTATTCATTTGGTGACCAACTTTTGTTGTGGAACCACTTCACGAGAGAATCGACAAAACTAGCACTTCCCTATACACCATTTAAACTAGAGTATACTACTTTTGGATTTGGATATGACGCAATTAGTGATAACTATAAGATCCTTAAGGTGAACAGGGGTGGCATAGAACCAGCCCTTGAGATTCTCACGCTAAAAAGTCGTTCGTGGAGAAGTATTTTTAACTTTCCAACTATTGTATGCCCTAAGACAGGATCTCAAATGGAGATTCATCCATATTATCAAGATTTCACTATAAGTCCCATGGTATTTGTAGGTGGAGCATTTCATTGGCTAGGTCGTTCGTATAATTATTCTGTGGTTTCATTTAGTACTTCAAATGAGGTGTACGGAGATATACCATTGCTAGAGCGAATATATAGATTTGACCACAAACAAAGCTCCAATTATGGCATTTCAGTATTGGGAGGAATGCTTTGCTTTTATTCTACAGATAACTATCATCGAGATCAGCCCGTTACTTTTCAGTTGTGGGGAATGAAAGAGTATGGTGTTGTGGAATCTTGGACTGAATTGTTCACATTACGTGCTTCTGATTCTTATAATATTACACCGAAATATAGGTATGCAGATGGTGATGTGCTACTAAGGTGTAGCCTTGACTTTCGTAGGCAAAGTTGCTATGGTCATGTATTTAGGACATCCAAAGGACAATTAGTTGGATTGTCTGGGTCTCAATCTGCATTCCAGGAAGGAATTGTTTATACAGAAAGTTTGATCTCTCCGAAATCACTTATTTAACATTTGCTTATATATGATCAAGACATGCTTTTTTTCTTTCTGAAATCATCTAAGGACCTATGTTTATCTATTGTTCGCAAATTTTTATTAGTTCCGAAATATATTTATCAAAGTTGTCAGCTTACTTCATTTATATGGTGTTGTTTGGGTCAACTTATGCGCACCTCAACTATTCTACGTAATACTTGCTACCTTCTTCCAATACAAGTATCGAATAACTTTCCAAACAACACGAGGAATAGAACAAGATATTAAGTAACTATGTCATCCAAAAATTAGACAGATATAGACGGAAAGAAATCACTTTTTTTTCTAACATGTCAAAGAATAGCACAAGTTGGAGTCAAGAAAATGATGTATATAAATGTTAACATTCTCTACACTTGTTGAGTATCATATATCCACTACAAAACTTATCAAAGTTAGATTAACAAACTAGCAATTGCGAGTTTCGTTTTTCTTGAAGGTATGAAGCTGATGAGCATCGACTTGTAGGTACAAAAACAAGCAAAGCATTCTGAAGATCTGCAGATAGACCTCTTTCGATAAGTGATATGATATAGATCATGAACTGTGCATCACATGGTAATGTGATAGGGCCATCACTTGGAAGTCCAAACTCTTCTTCAGACATGTGTAATAGTTGTCTGATTGCCTCATGTTGAAGGTAAGCCAACGGAACCACAAATCGCTTCTGATCAGTAGTATATACCACAAAATTCCCTTTACCAACTATAGAAGATGATGTGCTGCAACTCTCTGCATCAACATAATTGGATCTTGGAAAAGAAATTCTTTTCCTTTGTTTGGCTGTGAACTTCTGCCATTTCCTTGCCATCTTGATGAGTTTCTTGGCGCTTATCATATTGATCTCATAGGATTATAGGAAGAAAACAAAGTTTATGATCTTTTAAAAGATTGATTTAGTGATCGGTATCTGCTTGATGATCAAATGGATCATAGAAGCAGTTTATTTATAGCTCTAGTTGTCAACTTGAGTTAGGTGTTTAAGGCAAAATCATGTGCTGTTGTTGAATATGGGACCAATTGAGTTGTGGACATGGCTCATGTTGATGCATTTATTCAATTTTCTGTCACCATATCTTTAAATCAAGTGGTCCATGACTAAGTCATCGATTGTTAGGAGTTTCACATAACCAAATGTAAAAGTGAAAGCTGTGGATATGTTAAATTTTCTGATAAAATAATATTCAAACTGTATGATATGCTTTACAATTGTGTACTCTTCAATCTCTATCCTCTCTAAAACTATATTTGAACTAGCATGTACAAAAAGAATGTTTGTTATGACTCAATAAACAAGAATCTGTTGAGTTCCAGTTTCTTGGTGAAAAGAAGAAGTTAAACAGCAACATGAAGGAATTGATAGGAGCAATGCTTTGTGAAGATCTCCTGCAGCTACGCCTTTTTTGATTAGTGAAATGACATAGCTCATGAAGGCTGAATCACAGGGTAATGTAATAGGGCCACCACTCGGAAGCCCAAATTCTTCTTCGGACATGTTCAAGAGCTGCCTAATGACTTCATTTTCAAGGTAAGCCAATGGAATGACAAAGCGTGCTTGATCAGCTGTATATACTACAAAATGTCCTTTTTCAATTGTAGACGATGTACTGCAATTGTCTGCATCACTACCATTTCTTGGAAATGAAATCCTCTTCCTCTGCATGGCTGCAAATTTCTGCCATTTCCTAGCCATTTTGATGAGTTTCTTGGTACTTATCATTGCCATTTTCTTTTCAAAAGATTGGAAACAAGAAATTTAGAGACTTTTGATCGCTGAATTGATAATGCTTGTGTTTGATGATGAAAAGCCTCATGAAAGAGGGATTATTTATACAAGTTGAGCTGATGAGTTTGTTAGGTAAAGTCATGTGCTGATGCCTGTTGGCCATGTTCATATGGGGCCTAAAATTTGTGGATGAAGCTAAGTTTGAAAATAAAAGAAGATAAGTTTCTTCCTTTGTTATCTTTAATCAACTAGGCCTACTTGGTATTTCTCAGTAATGCCAATAATTTGAGACCATTAAATGACCATTTGCTGGTGAGTAGCAAAACCATGTTCTGCTCTCTTCTTTGTCATGTAGATAGGTCACCTTTAGATTTCCATCTTGGCATCAACTTCATCGATTCTTGTCGATTTTATTTCAAATAAAAGCGGGGCCTAATGTCTGAATACTTGATAACAATAGACTAAGCAAACCCATGTGAAGCTTCATGTGCCAATGTCTCTCACCAGCAACCACCAAATTCTCCACCATTAAATTTGGATGTGAAACTTACCACTAACTTTGTATATATACACATACATAGAAAGTTTGTTTTATGCAAAACACAAGTCTCACTTGCTGTATATTACTCAAAATCCTTCATTCTTTTCCTTTTTAACTCATCATTTGAAGTTACAAAAGTATCTCACTATGGGTATCAAAATGAGTCCCCTTATTCAAGGTACTAAAATCTTGAGGAGGTTTTCAAATTCCGGAGGTGTTCCAAAAGGTCATTGTGCAGTATATGTAGGAGAGAGCCAGAAGAAGAGATTTGTCGTGCCAATATCTTACTTGACCCAACCTTTATTTCAAGACTTGTTAACTCAAGCTGAAAAACAGTTTGGGTTCGATCATCCAATGGGTGGTCTCACAATACCTTGCAAAGAGGACGTGTTTGTTGATCTCACATCCCGCTTGAGGAGATCATGAATTGTATCAAAGTGCCAATCTGTGCACATGAAATTTTGTAAAACAGTAGAACTTAGATTTTAGAAAGAGGAGATTTAGAGAGGAACTCTCACTATATAGTTCAGAAACACAAGAATTTATAGAAGTTGTTTCCATAATCAATTTATGAATAGCAGAAGTGCTGTTTCTTATAATCATTTTTTTGGTTATATTTGCTAAAACAAAACCATTATTTATTTAGAAATTTTCTGCGAAACAAATAATAGTTTGCACTGTGTGGTTCAAATTAGCATATCGAAGAAAGTATCACTTAGCAGAATAAGAATGAAGTTTGTGATAAGTAACAAGAAATTACATAGCGGAACGAAGTCATCAGCTTTATCTGTTCTTAAGGCTTTAAATTTTTTTACCAAGTTATGAGAAGCAATGGGGCCTAATATTTAACAAGTTTAGTGTCTAAATACTAGGATACTAATAGCACATCTTTACTTGTCTCGACTACTAAACTTTTGGATGTGAGACTCGCGATAAACTTATATACACACACACACGAAGTATTTGAGCAGAACACAGTGCAAAAAGCTTTCCTTTTTCTGTACATTTTTCAAGAAGAGGAATTTTAAGGATGTCTTTAGTTGTTCTAATATCATACTAATTGAGTCTGCCTTTAGATTTCAAGACTTGATAGCTCATATTGTTTTGTCACCTAATTGCTTCTGAAAATACCACAAAATGTTCACACTGGATGCTAACTTTATTAGAAGGCAAGCCCTGCAATACTTCAGCAAAGTCTGATTAGAACATACTAATGCATATACATAAAAGGAAGAATAGTTGATTGATTGATCTCCTTAGAGTCAAACTTTCAAGCACTTAGACATTATTTGATCAAGGAGGTACTGCAGTAAGTGAAATGCTTGCAATAAACAAAGTGTTGTTAATCCAGGATTAGATTGTTAAGTCTTCTCATAACCAAATGTAAAAGTGAAAGCCGCAGATATGGTAAATTTTCTCTGATAAAATAACATTCAATGTGTATGATGTGCTTTACAATTGTGTTATTCAGTTTATGCCCTATCTAAAAACTATTTTGAGCTAGCATGTTGATTATGACTCAACAAACAAGAAGCTGTTGGTTTCCACTTTCTTGGTGCAAAAAAGAAGTCGAACAGCAAGATGAAGGAATTGAGAGGAGCAATGCTTTGTGAAGATCTCCTGCAGCTACGCCTTTCTTGATTAGTGAAGTGATGTAGTCCATGAAGGCTGAATCACAAGGTAATGTAATAGGGCCACTACTCGGAAGCCCAAATTCTTCTTCAGACATGTTCAAGAGTTGCTGAATGATCTCATTTTCTAGGTAAACCAAAGGAATCATGAAGCGCCTTTGATCAATTGTATAGACTACAAAATGTCCTTTTTCGATTATAGACGATGAGGATGTACTACAACTGTCATCTCTTGGAAATGAAATCCTCTTCCTCTGCATGGCTGCAAACTTCTGCCATCTCCTGACCATTTTGATGAGTTTCTTGGTACTGATCATTGCCATTTTCTTTTCAGAAGATTGGAAACAAGAAATTTAGAGACCTTTGATGGCTGAATTGATAATGCTTGTGTTTGATGATGAAAAGGCTCCTGAAAGAGGGATTATTTATACAAGTTGAGCTAATAAGTTTGTTAGACAAAGTCTTGTGCTGATGCCTGTTGGCCATGTTCATATGGGGCCTAAATTTTGTGGATGAAGCTAGTTTGAAAATAAAAGAAGATAAGTCTCTTCCTTTCTTTTCTTAAATCAACTAGGCCTACTGGTAAGAAGCAAAACCATGTTCTGCTCTCTTCTATGTCATGTAGATAGGTGACCTTCAGATTTCCATCTCGGCATCAACTTCATCATTCTTGTGGATTTTATTTCAAATAAAAGCGGGTCCTAATGTCGTTCTTCTACAAATTTATTGTCTGAATACTTGAGAATAATAGAGTAAGCAAAACCATGTGAAGCTTCATGTGCCATTGTCTCTCACCATTGGCCACCAAATTCTCTTCACCACTAAATTTGGATATGAAACTTACTACTAACTTTGTATATATATACACATACACAGAAAGCTTTTTACACAAAATACAAATCTCAACTGCTGTGTATTTCTCAAAGTCCTTTATTCTTTCTTTTAAGTCATCATTTAAAGTTACAAAAGTATCTCACCATGGGTATCACAATGAGTCCCCTTATTCAAGGTTCTAGAATCTTGAGGAGGTTTTCAAATTCCGGAGGTGTTCCAAAAGGTCATTGTGCAGTATATGTAGGAGAAAGTCAGAAGAAGCGATTCATCGTGCCAATATCATACTTGAGTCAGCCTTTATTTCAAGACTTGTTAACTCAAGCTGAAGAACAGTTTGGCTTCGATCATCCAATGGGTGGTCTCACAATACCTTGCAAAGAGGACGTGTTCGTTGATCTCACTTCCCACTTGAGGAGATCATGAATTCTCCTGCACGTGAAATTTTGTAAAGTAGTAGTAGGACTTAGATATTAGAAAGAGGAAAATTCACTGTATAGTTCAGAAACACAAGAATCAAGAAAACTATTCCATGATCAATTTATGAATAGCAAAAGTTCTAGTTTTGATTAATCCTTTTTCATAATATTTGCTTAAATGATTGATTCCGTTGTTCTTTTTTAATCTTTATGCTGAACAAAGTAACTAAACACCTGTATGCAATACAAGAAAGTGTCATTTAGCAGAATAAGAATGACCTTTGCAATAACTCACTGGAAATTACACATCTGAGCAGAACACAATGTCCTTGATTCCAAGTCATGAGAAGCAACGAGGCCACCTACTATTGGTCTTCGAGAAATTTAACCGTTAAATCTCTGAATACTTCATTTTTTTCTTGACAGCTAAGCTTTTTGATGTAAAACTTGCCATAAACTTACATATACAAAATATTTTAGCAGAACACAGTGCAAGAAGCTTTCCTTTTCTGTGTATTACTCAAAAGTATTTGTTTCTTGTATATTCTTAGATAGAATCCTTCATATCCTACATGGACCTTCAGATGCACTGATCCATAGGTGCAACAGTATGATGATGGACAAGTTAGACCATATATAAGACAAAGTGCTTAAAATATTAACAATCTCTTGGAGCTGAGACAAATTTAACTGAGATTTTGAGAATGTACTAGTTCTAGACAACGCCTAATTTCACTTGAAAGAGAAAATTTTCAGTATTGGAATAAACGGACGTGATTAGAACATAATGAATAAAGATATGATTCATATAATTGAGGTTAAACAGTTTGGGTTTGAGACGTGGTTGTATCATTAGTGTCAAGACTTCCATTTCAATCAAGGATTAGATTGTTAGGACTCCAAATAACCAAAGTGAAAAGTGAAAGCCATGAATATGGTAAATTTTCTTGATTAAATAAGATTCAATCAGTATGATATGCTTTACAATTGTATACTCTTCAATCTCCGTTGTCTCTAATAACTATATTTTGAGCTAGTATGTACAGAAAGAATGTTGATGTTGATTCAATAAACAAGAATCTGTTGATTTCCACATTCTTGGTGCAAAGAAGAAGTTGAACAGCAAGATGAAGGAATTGATAGGAGCAATGCTTTGTGAAGATCTCCTGCAGTTACGCCTTTCTTGATTAACGAAATGATGTAGTCCATGAAGGCTGAATCACAAGGTAATGAAATAGGGCCACCACTCGGATGCCCAAACTCTTCTTCAGACATGTTCAAGAGTTGCCTAATGACTTCATTTTCAAGGTAAGCCAAAGGAATGACAAACCGAACTTGATCAGCTGTATACACTGCAAAATGTCCTTTTTCTACTATAGATGATGAAGACGTACTACAACTGTCTGAATCACTGTCATTTCTTGGAAATGAAATCCTCTTCCTCTGCTTGGATGCAAACTTCTGCCATCTCCGAGCCATTTTGATGAGTTTCTTGTTACTGATCATTGCCATTTGTTTTGTTTGGAAGATTGGAAACAAAAAAGTAAATAATAAATTTAGAGATTTTTGATGGCTGAATTGATAATGCTTTTGCTAGATGATGAAAAGGCTCATGGAAGAGGGATTATTTATACAAGAGGAGCTGATAAGTCTGTTAGGCAAAGCCATGTGTTGATGCCTGTTGGACATGTTGGTATGGGGCCTAAAATTTGTTGATGAAGCTAAGTTTGAAAATAAAAGATGATAAGTTTCTTTGATCAACAACAACTAGGCCTAGTTGGTATTTCTCAGCAATGCCAATAATTTGAGACCATTAAATGAACAATTGCTGGTGAGAAGCTAAAACCATGTTCTGCTCTCTTCTTTGTCATGTAGATAGGTGACCTTTAGATATCCATCTTAGCAGAAACTTCATTGTGGCCTAGTGTTGTTCTTCAACAAAGCCATGTGAAACTTCATGATCCATTGTCTCTCACCTGTGGCCCTTTAATTTTGATATGACGCTTACCACTAACTTTGTATATATACATAGAAATCATTTTATGCAAACACATATCTCATTGTTGTGTGTTTCTCAAAATCCTTCATTCATTCTTGGAACTCATCATTTGAAGTTAAAAAAGTATCTCACTATGGCTATCAAAATGTTGAGGAGGTTTCCAAATTCGGGAGGTGTTCCAAAAGGTCATTGTGCAGTATACGTAGGAGAGAGTCAAAAGAAGAGATTCGTCGTGCCAATATCTTACTTGAGCCAGCCTTTATTTCAAGACTTGTTAACTCAAGCTGAAGAACAGTTTGGCTTCGATCATCCAATGGGTGGTCTCACAATACCTTGCAAAGAGGACGTGTTTGTTGATCTCACATCCCGCTTGAGGAGATCATGAATTGTATCGAAGTACCAATCTTTGCACATGAAATTTTGTAAAACAGTAGAACTTAGATTTTAGAAAGAGGAGATTTAGATAGAAACTCTCACTGTATAGTTCAGAAACACAAGAATCTATAGAAGTTGTTTCCATGGTCAATTTATGAATAGCAGAAGTGCTTTTTAACAATCACTATTTTGGTTATATTTGCTAGAACAATGGCGTTATTCATTTAGTTTTTTCTGCTAAGTGGTGCAAACTAGCACATCCAAGAAAGTATCATTTAGCGGAATAAGAATGACATGACTTGTGATAAGTAACAAGAAACTACGTAGGACGTCCTTAATTCCAAGTTATGAGAAGCAATGAGGCCTACCATTCAACAAGTTTAGTGTCTGTATACTTGGATAAACTTTTGGATGTGAGACTTTCCATAAACTTATATAAACACAGTGCAAAAAGTTTTCCTTTTTTCTGTGCATTTCTCAAGATCATGTGTTACTTGTTCATTCTTATATCATCAGTTAGAGTAAAGTATGTCTTTAGTTTTTCTAATATCAAACTTGAGCCTTCCTTTAGATTTCAAGACTTGTTAGCTCATATTGTTTTATCACCTAATTGCTTCTGAAGTCTGAAACTACCACAAAATGTTCACACAGGATGCTAACTTAGAAAACAAGCCCTGCGATACTTCAGATGCCGTTGTCTCTCATCTCTGCCACCCTAATGCAGATACTTCAGCAAAGCCTGATTGGAACATACTAATGCATACACATAGAAGGAGGCATAGTTGATTGATTGATCATTTAGACCTTGTTTGATCAAGGAGGTACCGCAGTTAGTGAAATGCTTGCAATACATAAGTGGTACCAATTCAGGAACCAAATGTAAAAGTGAAAACAGTGGATATAGTAAATTTTCTCTGATAAAATAATATTCAATCTGTATGATGTGCTTTACAATTGTGTTCTTCATTCTATGCCCTATCTAAGCTAGAATGTAATTAAAAAAAATTGTTGATTATGACTCAACAAACAAGAAGCTGTTGGTTTCCACTTTCTTGGTGCAAAGAAGAAGTCGAACAGCAAGAAGAAGGAATTGATAGGAGCAATGCTTTGTGTAGATCTCCTGCAGTTATGCCTTTCCTTATTAGCGAAATGATGTAGTCCATGAAGGCTGAATCACATGGTAATGTAATAGGGCCACTACTCGGAAGCCCAAATTCTTCTTCAGACATGTTCAAGAGCTGCCTAATGATCTCATTTTCAAGGTAAACCAATGGAATGACAAATCGAACTTGATCAGCTGTATATACTACAAAATGTCCCTTTTCAACTATAGACGATGAAGACGTACTACAACTATCTGCATCAGTACCATTTCTTGGAAATGAAATCCTCTTCCTTTGCATGGCTGCAAACTTCTGCCATTTTGATGAGTTTCTTGGTACTAATCATTGTCATTTTCTTTTCGGAAGATTGGAAAAAAGAAAGTAAATAACAAATTTAGAGACTTTTGGTGGCTGAATTGATAATGCTTGTGCTTGATGATGAAAAGGCTCATGAAAGAGGGCTTATTTATACAAAAGAAGCTGATAAATATGTTAGGCAAAGCCATGTGCTGATGCCTGTTGGCTAAGTTTGAGAACAAAAGATGATAAGTTTCTTCCTTCCTTCTCTTTGATTAACAACCGATTAGCTATGATATCAGCTTGTATTTGCTACTTCCCACCAAACGCCAATAATTTGAAACCATCAAATGAGTTAGTACTGGTAAGAAGCAGAACCATGTTCTGCTCTCTTCTTTGTCATGTAGATAGGTGACCTTATCAAAACCATGATGCATTTTTTTCTCCGTTTTTCGCAGAATAACATCAAATAGGCCTATATAAACATACATGTGGTATTGTTTTCCGCTATAACTATAAGTATTTATCAAAGACCTTATAAGGCAATACCATGTGATACATCTCATATGGTATTGTCTTTTTTTCACTTGTGTTCAACTTGAAAGAAGTTAACAAACTTCATTAATATTGTTTCGGATTCACTTGACATTGAAATCTTCTGAGATCATTTGGTATAAGGCACCAGTACATGTAGGCCCTGTTGTATCAAACAATATGGTCAAAATTTATAAATACTTGACCATTCGATGATTTATCTGCTATCGAGTTCCTTAAATTTCTTCCGTTCATTACTCTATAGCTACGATTATGTCCATCTGAGTTCCCGTATAACTCAATCTACTCAAGTCCTCAACAAGTCTTCGACACTAGGAGACGTTCCAAAAGGTCATTTTTTGTTGTCTATGTTGGTGAAAATTATAAGAACAGAAGTTCATTTTGTTCCTTTTTTTCAACATTTGCTTAGTCAAGCTGAGGGAGAATTTGGTTTTGATCATCCGATAGGCGGTTTTAACAGATCATTGTGGAGAGGAACTCATCATTTATCTCATTTCGCGCTTCATTAGGACACGAGAGGTGAAAAAAATCTCTGTTTTGGACAGCTCAACTTTCTAAAAAACACGCGAATTTCCTACAGAGCTGTTGGAACACTGTCTGAAGTCGGAGTTCTTGAGGGAATGTACGTTGGAAACAGTTGTAACGAGTACAATTTTGACGTATTTCCAATGAAAATGTCATCAAAGAGTACAATTTCGATGGATTTTCAATGAAAGGACTATCAGAAATTCACGTGTTTCTAGTAGTGCAAGTTATCACATCAACAAATGCAGAACCAAGATATAAGTTTTTGTAACATTTAGTCGTTACATCGTTCCATTTCATCGATAGATAACAACGAGCTATCTCTCTGCCATTGATATCAAAACAATCTTTATAATCATCAATATCCTCTCTGAGTCTTAACGCGATTAATCAAACAATCGTAAGTTGAACTCACAACCTTTAAGTAGCAACATTTACGCGAAATGTTCATCATCAAGGCAAAAATCGTTGACATTATATGACATGTAACGATTAAGAAAATTGAAAAAAAGTACATAGATATAAAATTGGAGGCATGATTTCGTCAAAATCGACGTTTTTTCGTTGAATAATAGTATATTATCCAATTGTCAATGGAGATCAAACCTCTAATAGGAACATGCCCTCTTTTACTTGATCATGTACGATGCGAATTTGAATTAATCGAATCAATATCAACAAAGAGAAATTGTCAAAAGACTTGGAATATACATAAATTTTGGAGTTTGAGATGTGAGAATGAAGAAATTTTAGGTAGGGAGCACGTCATTCGCATTAATATATTATGTGAATTTGAATTAATTGTATTAGAGAGCCTTCGATACCGGATTGTTATATAAAAAAATAAAATTATAAAAGGGGGTGCGTTTTATTTTTTTCAATTCTTACTCACTATTTATGAAAATTATTATAAATATAAAATTTGGACCACTTTGACCTGATGTATGCTATTTCTTTGAAATCAGTCCTAAAACCTAGCTACAAAGAATTTGGACCACTTTGACCAGATGCATGCCATTTATTTATCTATTTTAATTTTAATTACAATCAAATAATATCCCAATAATGACGTCGTTTGTTTCCATATTTTTTTTACTATTATAAGAAAATATTATTAATATAACCTAATATAAAAGATCGATTCAACAGAAACATGATTGATATAGTGAAATATTGTTATAAAAGAAGGTTGTTATAGAGAGATATAATAATAATAATAATAATAATAATAAGAAAAAATTACGCAGTTAAGCAAACTTATACTACTTAATTACTCATCATAGTTATAGTTTGCTATAATTATCACTCGCGACTAACATTATACATTAATTACGTGGGCTAACTTCGAGATTGTATAATTAGTCACGTTTGTATATGTCTAATTCGCTACATTTGTATAATTCGCAACTAACAATTCTTTGTTTGATTTTGTATTTGTATACGATTGTTTGTATTTCTATATGATGATGGTTTCCTTTGGTTTTTCAGTTTTGTCATCATATACATTTAAATTTTTTTGTGTATAACTTTTTAAAGTTTGTATAAACGTGTAGTTTTTGGATTTTGTATATAATGTAATTTGTATAATTGTTTAAAGTTCATACGTTTATGTTTGTATTAGTTAGTTATTTTGAGTTTTATTATATTTGTATAATTTCAGACTTTATATTACCCAATTATATACAAAAACACGTGAATTACACAAACGTACCTGCGAATTATACAAATTATTGTCCTCTCTCCTCCCTCTCTCAATAGCGCTCGCCTCTCTTCTCCCTTTCCCAATCTCTCTCGTCAAAATATACAAATACATATGTATAATATACAAATATCTAACCAATATACATATACAATTCACCTCTCTGCCCTCTCTCGCTCGCCTCTCTCCTCCCTCTCTCAGTCTCGCTCGCCACTCTCCTCCCTATAACATGTAGCTACGAATCGTAATTAGCAAATTATAGCTATAGAGTGTAATTAGATTATTTTTGAGTGGCTATATGCGAAAGTTCCTCTTAAAACACAGGATACCTGAATTATTTTTAAAAAATGAAATAATTTTGGGGTATCACCCGACTGGAAACGACAAATATCAAAGAGTCATAAAAAAAAAATTAAAAAAAACTGATAATTAATACTCCCTCCGTCCCATTTTATGTGGCAACATTTCCTTTTTGGTTAGTCCCAAAAGAATGTCACATTTCCTTATTTGGTAAGTATTTAAAGGTACAATTCCTCTTTTTATCCTTGTTGGTCCCACTTAATCTTGAAAAGAGTACTCCAATACATTTATTAGGAGAGAGAAAAATAAGTCTATTTTTTTAAGGGCAATTTGGTAAACATTTCAAAGCCTTTATCTATTTCTTAAACTCCGTGCCCGGTCAAATGTTGCCACATAAAATGGGACGGAGGGAGTAGCAATTATTAATTTGTAAATTAATTTCTTACTTTCTGAATACTAATTAATGATGAGATAAGAGTAACTGTTATAATGAAGAAGATAATGATAAACAAATTTTAGGTTTATTACTATTATTCTTCAATTTTTCATAATTGCACACAAGTTGTCTATTAACGAAATTTAGTATGCTAATGGGAAAATAGCCCCCAAATCCACATAGCATACTTTTAAAAGAGATTTTTTTTTTACCTACTACTCTTAAATTCAAAATTGAAATTGAAACTTTTTACTGGACCATGATAAACTGTTAATTTTAATTAATTTTTAACACTTTTATATGATTGACTTTATAGACATGTTTATTCATTTAAGTGACATCAATCATAAGTACTCATAAATCAATAATGTTTCTTGGATATTATATACATTTAATTAGTACTTATTCACAATTATTATATAATAAATAATAATAATCATTTAGTCTTTTCCATCGTGGTGACTGAGTAGACAGCAGGCGAGAACGGATGTTATAACCTGCACCAGCTAGCCCTTGTAAAGTAGATATTTCTATCGAGTATCGACAGGACAATTGGCATAGGCATAATAATAATAATAATAATAATAATAATAATAATAATAATAATAATAATAATAATAATAATAATAATAATAATAATAATAATAATAATAATAATAATAATAATAATAATAATAATAATAATAATAATAATAATAATAATAATAATAATAATAATAATAATAATAATAATAATAATAATAATAATAATAATAATAATAATAATAATAATAATAATAATAATAATAATAATAATAATAATTTTTTACGATTACTTAATAAATATCACATACCCAAGAATCTCGTAACATTCACAAAAATTAAAAAGGCTTTCCAAGACTCTACCAATGAAGGTTTAGTGGAATAATACGGTCATATTTCTTCATTTTTATTAGACATTTCAAATTTTAATTCGCTCACGAATGAAACTTTAAGGTTAAAACCTCACATAATAGATTTTTTTACTGTAGAAATTCGAATTAATAGGTCTAATAACTACTTTAAAAATATATCATACAATCAAATCTATTTATAACAGTTAACGTCTGCTAAATAAAAATTTCATATAACGACTTTAAATTTCTTTGAATCAATTATGCTTTTTTATTATAACATCTTACTATAGCAGTTAAAAAATATCTGAACAAATGACGTAAAATGCTATTAAATCAAATCTAACTTTTCAATAAATCACACCAATCAAAATCTAATGCCATATATTGGCATCCTAGTTGTCAAAGAATCTTGCAACTTTTTTTTCCATTTTCTATTATCCAAAATGACCCTTTCATTTTCCATTTCTTCATCACAAAAACATCCATTAAATCTAATTTGATAAGGTCTATTATCATTTCAACATTTTTTTTTTCTTCATATAATCATTAAAAAAAAATTCATCCAAATCAAAGATGAATCATTCTTTTTCAATAGAAACAAGTTCCTATGATGAGGAAATCAAAATCAAAGATGAAGAAGAAGAGATTATTACTTTCAATAATAATAATATTATTCAAGATCAAGAAAATACACAAAAGGGAAAACAATACATTGGAGTTCGAAAACGTCCATGGGGAAAATATGCAGCTGAAATTAGAGATTCAACAAGAAATGGAATTAGGGTTTGGCTTGGAACGTTTGATACTGCTGAAGAAGCTGCTTTAGCGTATGACCAAGCTGCACTCTCAATGCGTGGTCCTTCAACATGTCTTAATTTTCAAGTGGAGGTAGTTCAAGAATCGTTACGAGGATTCAATTATAATAGTCAAGAGGGTTCAACATCGTCTCCAGCTGAAGTTATAAAGGAAAAACACAAGAAGAGAAATAGTAAAGGTAAAAAAACAATTAAATCTAATAAGGAACAAAATAATAATGTATTGGTTCTTGAAGATTTAGGTCCTGATTTATTAGATGAACTTTTATCTAGTAAGTGTTCTACTTTAGAATAAATTTAAAATTATTTTTTTAATTTATTATATACTTAAAAGTTTTATTGTTTCCTATTTTTTAATTTTTTTTCCCTAATATTTTTGGTGTGAATTCCTAATTATTCATCCGTTTATCGAAACCCTAATATCAATTTACCTGACTTACAGTTTAATGGTATCAATGAGAGTTTTCTGATATAATAGATGCAAGTTCAATTTTCACCGTCTTAAATTCTTTTTTCCCTTTTCTTTGATGATCCCTCATTTTGTAATAGAAGAAGAAAAAAAAATTAAATCATTTTTTTGTAAAATAAGATAAAAGAATCTCAGTTAAATAATTTGATAAATGTAAATATATACTTGTTTTAATTTGTTGCTAAATTGTTTTATCATAGGTATGTTTTTTTTTTTTTGAGTTATTTGATAATTACTGTACATGTTTCAATCTTCTTCATTCAAGTGTTGTAACCAAATCTGAAGTTTTTGTGTCTGATCAAACATCTTCATATAATATATTAATCGGATTAGAGTAAATATTTTTTTGTTTTAATTTTTCTTTTTTCCTTATTGGTTATTATTGTCGGTTCGTTCTGTTGAACTTGTGAGGGTCATTATCCTTTTTCTTGTTGTTTTTCATATTTTTCAAATTGTTTATTTTTAATGTAGGAATGAATCTACTGTATTGATTAACTGTTACATGTTCACTTTAATTCAATAATTTTCGTTTTTATGCTTAATATCTAAATTTGAGGTCCATTTTCCACATAATGTTAAATTTAGAAGTAAAAAAGCTTCAAAAAAGGAAAGAGACATGTTTTGTTCAAACAAACTTAAAAAAAAAAGTAAAGAACAAACAAATAACTTTTAGAATCCAATTTGTGATCTTAAATATATCATAATATATATTTGTGTGGCTATTATCAAACTATTTAATCTATGGTCATAAACATCTCATAAAATGTATATCACTATAAAAACTTATCGTTTTGTATAAAGCAAAAAACGAAAAAGAATCATTCTTTTGAAATAAATTAAAAAGAAAATTGATTTGTTTGATTATTCAAAAAATAATCTTTCTCAGAAAATAAATTCTTTAAAAATGTGAAAACTTCTCTAACGAAAAATTAGGGAAAACAAATCTCACAAGCGACGTTTCATATTTGATTTTGTTCTCCCCGCTCTTTAGTGCACCTCATTTTCACCTTCTCCCTCGTAGTCCCGTCCTTCTGATCACCACCCTCATTACCTCTCATAATATTTCTCTAAATTATATATAAATATTTTTAAAATAATACATTTTTTTTATTTACATAACATACCAAACATACAAAAAATCACTTTTTTTTGGAAAATATTTTTCTGCCTATGAAAACCATCTACCCTAATTTTAACCAGCTATAAAAAGACTATAAAAATAAAATAAAAACATAATATTAGTTGTCGTATTTAATGGACGTTTATTTAAATTAGGGGAAAAAAGTACTTGTGGGGTATCTATCAGCCGACGGAAAAAGACAAAGTCTCAAGTGTGAGGCTAATATTTAATTATGAAAGGAGCAAATTAATTAAATATTACAAAATTAAAGTCGGAAAAAATAATTATTTTTTTGTATTATTCTTTTTACTGAGTTAGAATTTTGAATTTATGAATTTAAAATTATTGAGATTTTAATTAAGTGAACTTTTAATACTTATAATACGAAATTTATATCAAAGTTACTGAATTCAGCAAAACTCGTATTTGTATTTTTATTTGCAATCTTGAATTCATGGTTCATAAGATTCCTATTATTTTATTTTGTTAATTGTGACCTCACTGACAGCATCATCTTGGACCGTATGATGATGTCATCATGCTTTGGTAATAGATTCAATGAACATTGCTTTTTTCTAAAAAAATAAAATAAATTAGAATAATTATTAGTTATATATGAATTGATTTTTTTTTTTGAATAAATAAATAAATTTAAAATGAGGTCCAAATATCTATGAAAAATGTTTTGACTTGTTTCCTCATAAAGTTTTTATCTTCTTTTTTAAATGTTAAATACATGTTTAATTACAATTACAATTTCAATTTTCAAATATTATTTTTAAATTTGTTTAAGATATTACATTTTTTAATGCCCAAACGTCTACTAAACACAACTTAATTCTTTATGCCAAAAAACAATATAAATTGATTAGAAAAGTTAAAAGATACGTACCAACTATTTGTACGTTTTTAAATTTAATAACTTTAATAAATATCATAAGAATTACCTGTAATATGCTATTTTTATATATTAATAAATAAAAATATTGTCCATTTCTATTGTTTAGTTGGACGTATTCGACGCTAATTGTATGGACCTGAATTATTTTATAGAGAAGCTAATGAAGTAGCTGATAGAGCCGACGGACCAGCTGGCGAAATAAAGATAAAAGATGAAGACTTTTGGGGAACACTATGCTATCACCTACTTTAATTTCTTTATTTATTTTCTAAAAAGACTTACATGGACCATTTTTTTGTTCCTAGAAACGTGAAATATTCATACAAAAAACTCTTTGGATACTTTTAGAAAAGAAAAGGGAAAACAACTTTAATTAGATAAGGATGTGGTTATTAAGAGGGTAGGTTTTTTTTTCCTCAAGAAGACATATTTTATATATAAATTAATTAGCTATTATAAGATGTGACATTTCTCCGGATCAGTATTTGATTTGAAGTGTCATTAATATAATAGTCATATACAAATAAAGGCGAAAAAGAAAGACGTAGTAATAGAATAATAAAATCAATGTTATGGCACAATGACATATGACCTCTGATCAATGTTATCTCGAGCTTGAGTTTTGAGAATTTTTTTCAATGAAATTACATGTCTTAAATTTTACGATTTTCTTGAATTAGCTAGGGTTCAAATAATGTTAAAATTGAAATAGATTTCTATCGATTCCAATTAATTATAATATATTTCAATAGTTTTTATTTTTCTATTAAAAGAAACAAAAAAAAAAAGGGGACATTTCTATTTAAATTTTGTTTCTATTAGGTTTACATTTTAATACACATACTTTTAGTGGTGGAGAGTTGAGAGTCCGGAACCAAAAGGGCAACAAATTTTTTTGAAAATTCAAAAAGGGAAACAATTATGAAACCAAAAGGGCAACAATTTATAACAACGTCTAAATCAGATTTTCTAAAACGAGGCATGAAATCCTATGAGCCTTACGAGGCGCAGCAACCTTTTAGCCTTGTAAGGCTCAGCCGCCCATGAGCCTTACAAGGCTCAAGGCTGTTTTTTTTTTGCAAAATTATTATTATTATCATTAGACTTATAACAAACAAGAAAATAAAACGCAATTTTTTTATTTTTTTAAAAAAACCTGTCTGCAAGGCGCTGACAGCCTTACACCTTGTAAGGCTCATGGGCGGCTAAGCCTTACAAGGCTAAAAGGTTGTTGCGCCTTGTAAGGCTCGTAGGATTTCGCGCCTCGTTTTAGAAAACCTGATTTAGATGCCGTTACAAATTGTTGCCCTTTTGATTTCATAATTAATTGAGTTGTTCTTTTGGAATTTTCGAAAAAAATTGTAGCCCTTTTGATTCCGGACTTGGAGAGTTGAGTGGTAGACAGCCAAATGATTTATGTTAACAATAATTATAAAAAAAAACATTATAATAAAACTAATAATTTATTAAACAACCTCTTAATTTCCTAATCCAGCTCAAATCAAACAGTTATAGCAAGTAGATCATGATCAAGTGCTAATTAATCCTTGTCCTAATCTTACTTATAGACAAACCACAATATATATAACTTCTAAATCTAGTACAGATGCCACAGCTTTAATCCAACTTGTCAAATAATTATCCCCACTTGTTCACTTATTAAATTAACAATTCAATAATGGGAATAACAGATATGATAACAAATATATATATTATTTCTCACTCTACGTTCAGTACTCGCATTGCTTCTGACTAATCCGAATTTAATATTTACACATTGCAAGCCCATTTTAGGGGACGATGCATTCAACATGATTTCTTTTCCATACCTAAAACTCGAATCTAAGACCTCTGAATCAACCATAAAATACGAATTCACGCATGATCCCTATAACTTTCTAAAATCTTCAAATATCTATGAGCTAAGTTGTTCGAACTCTTTAAAAATGTAGTCATATCTATGTAGGATTTTTCAAAAATACGTTACTTTTGAAGGACTCGACAAGCCGATTACATTTTTGAAGAGTCCGAACAACCTAGTCTATAAGTATATGATGTTGAACTTAGGTATTATTAATTGTATACCCCTCTGTCCCTAATTACTCCATTTTTGAATTGGTACACCTATTAAGAAAAAATATTTATTGACATAGTGAGTTTATCATTTTACCCCTATTAATTATGAAGTGCATGAATTAAAAACTTAAGATAATTAATTGAGGGTATAATAGATAAAAACAAATTGTTCTTTCTTTATTTGTCAAAATGGACAAGTAATTAGAGACAAAGGAAATATTAATTTGAACACCTTTGAAATTTAATTGATGGTGTGAAAAGTTCTTTCTATCGTCAGTCGGTGTATATAATTTAAATATAATACTAAAGATATATTAATTAAGTTGGTCCTCTCATTTTTAGATCAATAAGGAGAGAGATGAAAGAAGAAAACAAATATCTCCAACACAAAATGGATTTGAAGATAATTCAAGATGAGAAAATAACTTCTCATGAAGTTAAAGTTGAAGCTCAATCAAATGAAGAATTAGAAGTTAATCATAACTTCCATAATATACCAAAAAAGCCCCACAAGTTTATAGGTGTTCGAAAACGTCCTTGGGGAAAATATGCAGCTGAAATTAGGGATTCAACAAGGAACGGAATTAGGGTTTGGCTTGGAACATTTGATACGGCTGAAGAAGCTGCTTTGGCTTATGACCAAGCCGCGTTTTGCATGAGAGGTCCTTCAATTTGCTTGAATTTCCCAGTGGAAAAAGTGCGCGATTCGCTAACAAAAATGGAATGTAGCTACTTGTTGCAAGATGGATTAATGTCACCAGCTGAAGCCCTAAAAGAAAAACACAAGAAGAGATCAAGAAAAATGAAAAATGTTAAAGAAGAAGAAAATGTGTTGATATTTGAAGATTTAGGTGCTGATTTATTAGATGAATTATTATCTAAGTACTCTTCAAGTTCAAATTAATCTACATATTTCTACATGTGTAAGTACATCTAGTATATGTCAAAAAATAAATAAAAATGGAATGTATGTTCCTTGTTCATGCTTTTGATCTATTTTTCTTTTTATTGTTTTTATCGATATAATTGAAACGATACAGAGAAGATTAGAATAGTCTGTATGCAAGTATGACATGTACAAATCGATTGAGAAATGAAGTTTATAGATCAAATGAGATGTGAAAATTCTTATCTCAAACTTATTTGGAATTAACCCTAGAGAGTGCTACTTGTTCTCTTTCTTTTCTTGTTTTACGCTCCGATAGATGAATTCAAAATTTAAATTTGATAAATTTGATATTTGGATTTTTACCTATGAATTTATTACAATTTTGAAATTATGATGACACAACCACCTTGTGTTTTTATGTATGAATTCATATTTCATATAAAAAATGTTGAGTTCAGTTGAATCTTGTTGGTTTTTTGCCTACATCAATTATTGTTCGCTCCTAGCTAATTATTGAAGAAGTTCGCTTTTGTTCTACTTTTTAGATTTTATTGATAGGAGTAAGATTTGTGTATATTTTATCTCCTTAAATGATCTTATTTGTGAATTATACTGAATATATTATTGTTATCGTTGTTTTAGATTTTAGTGGCGTAACCATAATCACATATTATCAGCTAGAAGATTGCAATCTTCAAAAATTAGAAAGTCACTATCATTTCTTTTGACTTTAGGTTCCCAAATACTAAAGTACTTCAATCAAACTAATTATTTATTATTAATATTCATTAATTTATGAATTAGCAAAGTAGATTTTGATTAATTTGGATGTTTCTTTTGGTTATTCCTTGTTCATAATATGGTCCTTGAAATAGTAAAGTTGACAATTAGGGTTATTATAAAGATTCAAGAACAAGAATGACATCACTTGCTAAGTCAATTAATTAATATTTATTCTTTCCCACTTCAACAACCTCATTCTTATGGCCTTTTCACTTATGATGTCCCATTAATGTCTAACTAAAAATAAATAAAGATTGGAGAAATAGAAGTTTTGAATTTTAGATTACTTTTATGCAGAAATGAATTTAAAATTTTGATTTGATCGATAATTAGATTTTGAAAGATTAAAAAGGCACACCAGACAACAATTTTAGAGAGTCTTAGCAGCGTAACACAACTTATGATCATGCAATGAATTAATTCGTCTTCTCTTTGAAGTTCACATATTTATATATTGTAGTAGGAAAGTCTAGGGAAGTTACGAATGAGTTGAGCCAAACAAGTCACAAGGCGCAAATATTATCCTTGTATCTAAAACTCACCGGCTATATTAATTTAGATTTGCATCATGAAGTTCTCTTTACTGAAATTTTTTCCATTTCTAATGTTCGATAGGGGTTATGCAATATATAACCTTTGGATGGGTGGTCAAAAAGGCTATAAAACAATTATACAAAAGATAAACAATTAAAATTTAACAAGGATTGAGCAGGGTAATTATAACCCGCATTTTAATCCTTTCATTTGAAATAATTTTTGAAAAGGTCAACAACTTAGCTATTTATATAACTCAATTTATTTTAACCCATTCATATTTAATTCAACTCGTTTAACTGCGTAAGAAAGATTTTATATCAATTAATAAAACAATATCGATCTATTATTACAATTTGTCTTGTTAATTAGCAGGTGTATATATGTGGTAGCTAACGTTTCATGACACCCCTTGTAATTAAAAAAAAATGGCTCCATCACTACTTGAAGAAAAAAATATGGAATTAACAAATTATATTGTTGTTAGGTTGATTTAATAGTTAATTAAATTATAAAGAACAAACAAAACAAACAAATGAAAACATGATTTTGAGCACAAATTAAAAAATCAATTTTGAGTACGTTCTTGACCCAAGCAAAACCTAGATCACTTTAATTTATACTTTTTCGGTGTTAGATAATGTGTTGTGTTTCTCTTTTACACGCCTCTTAATAAGATATTAATTAAGAGTAAGATATAATCTATCTTCACTAATTTTTTACTATATTGAAGTATTTGTTGTCTTGCAAAACAATTACGTACTATATATTAAGGATAAACTAGAAAAAATAATTTAAATTTTGTCTTAAACTTCTTTAAAAATTACGATAGATAATTCGAAACGAAGATTATATATGGACCCAAATTTAAGGATTGTTTAAAGTTCCTCGAGACGACAGTAAAAGACAAACCAGGGTGAAATTCAACGTGTATGTCGGATGCTGGAATTTAAAAATAAAAATAATAAAAATTGATGATCAGATTTCATCAATTATTTATATATTTACAGTTACCAAATGTGAAAATGACAAATATATAATTTCCAAAAGAAAGGAGGTGTGTAAAAAGTTTATTAGATAGTGTTACTCGATATTTATATATATTGGCGAAAGATAATGGATAAGTATACCATAAATTTAAAGCAAGGACATACAAGTTGGCTCGAAAGTAATAATCATAAAATATATATATATATATATATATATAGTTCAAGTCAAACTCAAAAATGGTTGGAATTATGCTTCCGATCTTAATCAGAAGTATTGATTACAAATTTTGAGAAGGAAATTTTTTTCGATAGAGAGGCCTAATACTTCTTAATATAAATTCAAATTAATCAGGCTCAATTTTGAAACGATTAAACTAAAAATGTCCATTCGTCAACATGACTTAATTCCATCTCCTTTTCTTTTAGGTCAAAAAAGATAGTATTATATATTTTATACAACGTAACAATATATAAAGTTATATGTATTACGAATATTATCTTGTTTTAGTCTATAATAATATTTGATAAATAATCTGATAAATATAATTCATGAGTGCCGTTAAGTTTCATAAAAGAACAAAGAAAAAACAACTATAAAATCAAAATTTTATTCTTTTCTTTTCTTATTGTTTTTTTCTAATAAGTCTGCTGCCTTATTCTCCTCTCGAAATTCATGTTCATCAAGAACTTGACGTATCAGCTAGGCAATCGACATGAAAATTCAGTTAAAAGAAAGTTTAATTTAATTATATTTTTTAACAATCATTATGTCTGTTAATTAATATTGATTACACACCTAATTTAGACACTTTAAAAGTGCCCACTTTATTAGTTTGCATGACTTTAATTAATTACCAATAATTCTCTCTTACATAAATCGTAATCTTGCATAGATTTTGCAACTCTCGAATATTAATATTTACTAATTATGACACTTTTCTTTAGTACTTATTTTATATTATTTTAGTTTATTTATTAATTTAACATATTAACTTTTGAGTTTAAGGAATGAGTTTGTTCTTTGTGTAATAAGTAAACTGTATAGTGAATTCTTGATAAGAAGAGTTTCCTCCTTCCGTTTAATCAAGAATTGAGCTAAACTTGAATTAGTTTGATTATTTAAATGCATAAAATAAAAAAGACAAAAAATACTATTCAACTTTGACTTTGACTTAATTAGTTCACTAGATTCTATCTTAGATGAGTTGAACAAATAAATTGCGAGCTTAAGAAAAGTGTATTATTCAACAAAAAAATTGAGACTAGCAAATATAGCTCAATCGAGCCAAACCTTAATTTGTCTAGCTTCGACTTTGTTAATAAATACCGACTATAGCATGTTCAAAATGGTCCTTTCCTAGACGAATCGAGTCAAGTCAAATCGAGCTAATATGCAAGAGATCTAGCTAGTTAAGATAGGTGCCTAGGTTTAAAACTAATTACAGAGTTAATAGGACAATTCAGTGCACTAAGTATTTCGCATTTGTATAGGGTGCAAGAAAGGATCGACGTGCATATAATGTAGTTAGTATACTATCTAATACAAACATATATCAATAACTGCTTTTATGATTTGAACAAAAAATCTATAAATAATATAAAGATAATTTTACTATTATTCCAACTCTTTACAAAAACATTTACAACTTAATGAAAGAAAGAAAAAAATAAGTTAAGTGCTTGTGGGGTATATATACTGCCGACGGAAAAAGACAAAATTTCCAAACGTAAGGTCCAAAGTTTTTGCCTCACAAATATTTTTATTTTTTATTATAATAGTAAGAAAATTTAATTTATATACGTCGATGATATAATAAATTATATATTATTACATACGTTATGTAGTATTTTTTTTGTTTTTGTTATTTGATTTTGATTTGATAAGGAGAGTCTATTAGATATTTATTTTAGTTGAAAAATTGAAATTAAAAAATTACTAAAAAAGAAGAAAAGAAAAAGAGATATTTTTTTAAAATTTGAACGAATTTAAAAAAGAAAGTGAAACAAATAATTAAAACAGAAGAATGTATAATCTAATAATTACACAAGGAGTATGTGGATAGTGCGCGATTGGTCATGAATAATTTTCATTTTCATTTTTTGATTTTTGTTTTTTGTTTTTTTTGACATTGTTGTTACAATTTTATGGAATTCCTTTTCTTTTCGAAATTTGAACTTCTACAAAATGATATTTTCACCATCTTCATTTCAAAACGCTCGTAATAATTCAAAAACAATCATAATTTGTATTCATACCTAGATACAATTTTAATTTTCAAATTAAAAATAAATGTTATTTTTTTCTTTTAAATTTCACATTTTTTATGCCTCAATGTCCCATTAAATTCAAAATTAAATTTCCAAAAATGGGAAAGAAAAGACAGAGAAGAGGGCAATCTTGAATGGACTAGAAGAGGAGTGGCAAATTCAATTCCTTGAATGGACTATAGGACAATAATATAGTATTAAATATCGATCCTTTTCATGCATTTAATTAAATTATCTGTTTCAACTATAGTACCAATAATATAGTTTTCTGTTCATAAAATTAAACCAAAATAGGACAAAATGTATACGTACATGTTTATGGTTAAAAAATTTAGTCCGTTTTATTTTTCACGCGATATTTGATATTCAGTTGGGATTCAATTCATAAGAATTCGAGCCAGAAAGATAGAATATTTTATAACAAAAGTGATTTATTTTTCATAATTCAAACCTAATTATAACTTAGTGGTTAGGAAAAGAAGTGAACATCCCGATAGAAAAGTCTTTTTATAACCGACTTGAAGTTCAATTTCCATCGCAGTAATGGATAAACTCTATATAGAAAACTTAAATACTCGATGAAATATAATAATAAAAAATACATAGAGTGACAATCCAGTAAAATTCAGTCATGCTGAGGAATGATTAGGAGAAGTGTCACCTCTTTGGAAAGGTGCAAATTGACTAATGGAACCTAGCTACCTTTGATTTTAATGAATTACCAAGTTGATTAATATATAACTAGATTATGAAAAGACAGTTTCAAACGTAGGAAAAATTGAAACTTAGGATAATTAAATTGGATTACTACTTAAATCAGTTCAACATATAAATCATCAATTAAATGAGGCGGATTAAAATCAGTCGAGTTAATAAATAAATCGATCATTAATTAAATTGTGTAAAATTTAAATGAACTGAATATCAGTCAAGTTAATAAATAAATCGATCATCAATTATTAGATCGTATAAAATTTAGACGAACTGAACGGATCATATTTGCAAGGGTAATTTTGTCATTCCTCTTTTTCTTTTGTTGTTTTTTCACAACCTATCTAGATGTTTTATACATATAAAATATAGTCCATCTTATCAATTCTACTAGGTTTTGATAAATTTGCAATTTATGTTCCCTCTATTATTGGAAAGGCTGCTGACTAATAGGTAATTATTTAATTTAATTATATTTAACTAATGTGCAATGAAATTCTTTTCATTTTACTTTTAACTACATAATTAAGTACCTCAATTTGAATTTTATGAATTATTTATAAAGTTCTACTTGAAGGAAAATATGATCAAGGTTTCAAATTGGTTTAATATCTATTTATCGATCAAATTACTTAAAAGATAATTACTATGATAGTATATAATAAGAGGATTTATTAACCTGAAAAACAATGTACATAGCGTGAACATATCAAATTAATTAAAAAAATAATAATTACCCATAGTATTTAAACAATTTAAAGCAGCCAAAAATGTAGGGTATATATATATATAGAGAGAGAGAGAGAGAGACTTTCATATATAGATTATTTGCATTTTCTGTCCTTTTTTCTCTTTTATTTTAGGGTAGGGTAGGGCAGGGGAGCAAGTGGTGGTGGTGGGGGAGGCCTACATCATATTAATCAATTAATTATCATTAACATTAATTAATTATTTTTATTAATCTATTAATGAGCCTCATACAGCTCAATATTAGCAATTAAAGCAAGTGGATCACTTGTAAATCCTTTTTCCTAATCTCACTAATAGACAAAACCCTAGAAGATTTTTTAAAATAATTTTCACATATATATATTTATTATCTATATCAATTTATCAATTAGTACTTATCAAAAAATTACCTATATTTTCCTAATAAATTACCTCATTATGTAACTATTATTTACATTGACAGTATATAATAAAACTCGTCCAAATTTGAGTTTAAATCTCATAGTACATTATCGATCAGTACAATTAATATTCTACATTATCCAACCATTCAAAGGATATAACATGCTAGTCTCCTTAAAATATAAAATTTGAAAATAAAGCATATAACAAATAAAAACAAGTTAATATTATAACTTTCCAATAATACCCTTGCAATCAGTAGAAAACATATATAGTTGTTCCACTCATTATTAGTCCATACTTTATACTAAAAATATCTACATTATATTAACACATAAAGTTACTCCATTTATAGATGGATTTGAAGATTCAAGATCATCATGAAAAACTAATTTCAAACATCAAAGTCGAAGTTGAAGTTGAAGTTGAAGTTGAAGTTGATGATAAGAAAAAACATTATATAGGTGTTCGAAAAAGGCCATGGGGAAAATATGCAGCTGAAATTAGGGATTCAACAAGGAATGGAACAAGGGTTTGGCTCGGAACGTTTGATACTGCTGAAGAAGCTGCTTTGACTTATGACCAAGCCGCGTTTTGCATGAGAGGTCCTTTAACTTGCTTGAATTTTTCAGTAGATAAAGTGCGCGAATCCCTAACAAAAATGGAATTTAACAATATTAAAGATGGATTATTTATGTCTAGTCCAGCTGCAGCCCTAAAAGAGAAACACAAGAAGAGAAATAGTACATCAAGAAAAAAAAAGAATATTAGTATTAAAGAAGAAAATGTGTTGATATTTGAAGATTTAGGTCCTGATCTGTTAGATGAACTATTATCTTCTGAGTACTCATCTTGTTCAAATTAATCTACAAAATTTTCACATTTGTAAGTAAATCTTGTACTTTTCTTGTTTATGGTTTTAATTCTATGTTGCTCTTGGACACTCTAAAACGTTGTTGTATTCGTGTCAGATTCTTTTAAAATACACTGTTTTTTGGAGGATCCAACACGTATTGACGATATTTTATGAGACCGAGCAACATAGGATTAATTTACCTTTCCTTTTTCATCATTTGGTTGTCAATATGATGTTTGTGTTAATTATAACAGCATATCCAGTGTAATTCTATAAGTGAGATCTGTTTAACTTTTTTTTTCAATAGGAGTAATATAAAGGATTCAAGATCCAATAGTTCACAATATTCATCTATGTTTTAAACATCTTGGGAAAAATATATATGTCTGAATGTTTTGTAAGGTGAAAATTGTTATTTTACCTGAAATACAACTCAAACAGTTTCTACAATATTTATCAAATAATGATGTATATGGAAAAAATAAATAATTTAGTTTATTTTGTGAATAATGATGCCATTATTTCGAATTACTGAAATTCACTATTTTATTTTCTTAATTTCACTTCTTGATCCAAGTTTCCATCTATGTTGTTCGGATTCTCTAAAAATGTCATCGCATCCATGTCTTGATTCTTCAAAAAAGCAATATTTCTGAAGAATTCACTTCGAATCTGACCACATTTTTGAAAAATCCGAGCAATAAATATAGATTTCATTCCGAATTTCAAAAGAAGAAAAAAAGAAGACGCACTACCTTTTCTATAAAGTTTTGGCATAGTATTAATACTGTTTTTGTGACACAAATCTAGACATATACTGACGTATTGTTATTATTACATATATATAGAAAAAAATGTGATCTCCAGGAATTTGGAAGTCACTATCATCTACTTTAACTTGAGGCTCCCACTAGTTATATATAAATTATTTATTCTTTAAAAAGAAGAATATTAATTAAATCACCGAAGATAATTACATGTAACTGTCCATAACCAGGGGTATGTGTTAAGTATTTTATGTTCGCGGACGAAATGAGTTGTTATAATCTTCTTATTTAAGGGCAACTTTTAACTTATGAGCTAGTTTTGGAAATTAAGTTTGGGCACTATATAATGTTTATTTCTTATTATAGTATCAGAGTCTGTACGATCCATTCCTATTTTTTGGTTATTTATTTCGTATTGGTTCTCAATGTTATATTGTCCACACTCCAGTTGTTCAGTCTTGAGGGTGTGTGAGGATGTGTTACATACATATTGATGGAGGAAACGGATCGTTTGGGCAATCATAATCCTTTATGCTAGTTTTTTAGATTGAGTTATGTCCGACGTTTATAGTCTATATGAGACTCGGACTTGTTCCTATGTTTTGGTTATTTACTAAATGTTTGATGTCAATATTATGTTTGTCCACGCCCTAGATGTTCAATCCTGGGCATACTTTCAGAAAGTGTTAATGTCACACATATTGTCTGAGGAAATGAATCGTTATCTCCTTATAATGGTTTCGTGCAATCATAACCTTTTAAGCTAGTTTTTGAGATTGAGTTAGGCCCAACGTTCATTTCTTATTGATAAATGGGAGATATGCTATGTTGTGACTAGTTATTTTATTCTTCTCTATGCTTTCATGTTTTGGGATTGAGTTAGGTCCGACCTTAATTATTATTTTCTACTTCAAAAAATGGTGCATGGTACCTACTATTATTCTTTCCAATGCTATAATAATTCTATTCATTGTCTGTATATATATATTAACAAAGCTGAGTTTTTGATTTGGTAATAGCTAATTTGAGTTTTCCCAAGGAGGATTAGTTGGTGACTTTTTTGTAGTACGGTGGCTAAGACTCAGATAGACTACTTACTCCTTAGACAGTGTGATAGAAATTTATCCCGAGTGAGTATCTTATAACTCAACATAAGCTTTTAGCAATGGATTTAGAGATTAAGAGGAAGAAAAAGCGGAGGGCTTTGTATGACTTGTCGAGGATTAAATGAGGTGGCTGACTACTAATAGAACTACGCGATGGGAGAGAAGTTGATGACGATGAGGGCTTGGGGGAGTAGTGGGGATGCAAATAGAATGTGGGATTGGACAACTAATTGCATTAGGGAATTAAGTAGCTAGAGAGGTGTTGAGGGTCTCGAGAGGTAAATAATGTAGGTGGACATCGAGGGAATTGGTAGTGGAATGGAGCGGTCCAAGGAAAAGTTGAATATGAGAAGTGGTATATTGTTGTTGTGGGATTACACAGGGTATGTTGTTCTGGCATGGAGTGGTCAGCTGTCAATGTATCTGAGCCCACATTTTCAAGAACAATATCACCAGCAACTTCTTCCAGCTTTGATAGAAGTATTTGATGATTTGATATTCCTCGAATCAAACTTATCCATTGTAAGTACATATCGTTGCCTAGTAATGTTGTTTCGTTTGTATAGACAAGTGCAACTTCAGGTATATTCATGTTGTTCAGTCACTAACGTGGTGCAGATATTTTGAAACCTTACCAGCATGAGAAAGTGAGTGAATTAGTCGCGTTTCTACAGATAATGTCACATTTACCAATCTACAACATGTTTATTCGTTCACGTGTATATGAGTAAATGACATAAGCTTTTATCTGTCATATCTTGTTTCATCACAGGTACTTTACTTTCCGGGGTTCAAAATGAGCATTTTTTTTTTGGTTTTAAGTCTCTGGTGTTCTTGATCTAAACTTCATTTGCTCGGGATACTGCAGAGGACTCTGCATATGTATATGATTCTATAATGCTTTTATCTGTACGCTATCTTGGTAACTGCTACTGAAGATACAAGTCGAATGCTTCTTGCCAAATCCTTCGAATGCATTACCTTGATTATGTTGAAAAGGTGAATAAAGTTTCTATCTTTACGTCTCCTTTAAGAAGGCATCGTATAATTATACTGTTTCCTGGAGCTGTCGATTAACTTACTAAGAACCATATAGACAATGCAAATGCTTAGGGGCAGATTTCATTCCTCATTTGAGTGTTCCCAATAATTCAAATGATGAAAGGTTCGATCTTCCTATAACACTCGTATGAAGTTTCACTTAAAATGCTTGTCATATGTATTAGTCACATTATGTCTGGATGTAGATGGTTGTGAAATAAGCAACTTATCGAATTAGATGTCTTCAGTACGTTGACATAGTAATATGTCGTGTAGCACGCTTAATGGGACTAAAAAAATCGCGATAAAAAGTGAACTTCTGGAAGAAAAAGCCTTGATCTGTCATACCTAACTTGTGGGTTGTTAGTGCTTTAGTAAGAATGACTGCTATTTCTGGTAAATTTTCTACATGTATCTTCTTCTTCTAATCATTCATTTTTCTGCATTATAAACCAAATCTGATGTTTGCTAATTGCATTTATTCCTTTTGTAGCAATGCCATTACTGTTAAACTCAGCTCCTTGTGCTACGAAGAAAGGGCGTCCTGTAACAGGTTGTTAAGTCCCTAGTTCAAACGATCTCTAACACTATAGTCCCAGCTTTGCTTGACGCGTTAAAATAAGGTAATTAACCTAGTATTGCAGCACAAGTTCAATCAATATTTCTATGATCATGTATAAAGTTCTACTTTCCCTTTAGGAGTTAAAGGTACAAGTTTAAGCAAGACTATTGGAGGCGTTGAACGAAAACATTCAGGTCAATAACTCTTTCGTCTTCTGTATAGTCCTCGTGTTTTTGCCCTTGAGTTTCTGTCTGTGCACTAAAAAGTACTTAGGTACTCACAGATATCTTAGACTTACCTAGGTCGATTTCCTTGTTTTCCTGAATTCAGATATGGTGAAAAAAACTCAAAGGTATCATTTGCTACTCCCTCCGTTTCAAACAGAATGTCTCTTTCCCTTTATAGCAACTCTTTAGTTTCAATTTTCCATGTAACATGTTTAAGATCACAAGATTCAAAAGTCTTCTTTACTTTCTTAAACTTCGTGCTAAGTCAAAACCAGATAGTCAAATTGAAACGGAGGGACAAGTTTTTCTATGGTTTCCTTGACCTTACACATTCCCTTTTCACTTTTCTATGTATTTCTGTACAGAGTAATGATAGAACAGCAGAAGAAAAGAAGAACTATAGTACACCTTTTCCGCGATATTGCTGAGCAGTATCGAGAAGAAGTATTCAGGCAAGTCTTACGCGATTTTCAATGTCTTATCAGTCATGATCATAAGCACATTTGGCTTAACTGAGCGTCGTTGTTGATTATTAGGCTTAGCTGAACCTCGCTAAAAAACTGTAACGTAGCATTGTAATGCCAAAAACCCGGACAACATCATGGCTTACGAGGCTGCTGTTAAACCAGTTTGTCTCTGAAGGCATCTACATCTATGAGGTAGAACACATAACAAACACTCGATGACTCGATACAAGACATTTATCGAATGACATAGTATAAACGTTCTTGTTTAATGATGGAGAGGCAAGTATTCCTCGTAGGCTATAGCATTAAGCAATCAATAATTATCAAAACATCAACATTTCTTATACATGTTAATTATTTGTCACCATAATTATCAAAACTCAATTTAGAGACATGGCTGTTTGTCACCATATCAAGTTTGAAATTGAGTCACTAACATAACAAAGGCGGATGCAGAGTACTGGTATCAGGTTCATATGAACTCAATATGTTAAGGTTGTGTAGACCATATCGCGTGATAAAAAATGTAGCCTTTGATCAAAAGCTACACTTTTATTAAATTGCATAGTCGCGTAAAAAACAAAGCGTGAAAACTCCCAAACTCAAAATCTTTAAGCAAAGGTAGAGAGACTCATCGAACAACCCTACTATTGATGGATCATAGATATTTTCTATCAAATAATACAAAATTAAATCTATATAGATGTAAGCGTGGTGGTTTAAAAATATGAAAATTTTGCATCAGAAGAGCCTTTTTTTGGTTGCCTATTCGTTGTCCAAATATGCATATTAAGACTCGACTAATTTCAATAGAGTAACTTTCACATATAGCAAACATAAAAATCATATTTGTATGTTATAACTATAGTTTGCATAATTGCGCTCATAGTAAATTTTATGTTTGCTATGGAGCTTTTGATTTGTATAATTCGCTACAAACATCCAATTTTATACTAATTGTTCAGTTTTGTATAAATTCATTTATACATTGTAATTTGTATAATAAGATCTGTATTTGTATAATTATAAGTGTATAGGACGAAAATATATGTATTTGTATTTGTATATACATTTTTCTCTCGCTTTATACCAACACAAACACATTTTATACATTTGTATACCGAATGGGCAAATTGTATACCAAAAATGGTTAATTGTATGCCGAACCAGATGGCAAAAAAAGGGATGTTTGCTGTGAATTACAAATAAAATAAACTATGACTATAGCATTTAATATAAATTAATAATTTGTTATTTCATGCAATTTTTCCAATTTAAATTTGCACAATTTAAACTTTTCGGGAAAAATGCTCCCTACTAAAGATTTTCTTTAAAAAATCTCATATATGTATCACATGGAAAGAGTACAAAAAAAAATGCATTAAAATGTGTAGGTGTTCGTTGAACCGTAATGCATGCAATCGGTGCACTAATTGAATCCAACAACGGAGTCAAAATTTCAACTAAGAAGTGTCAAGATATAAAGAAGTTAAATCTTGTAGAAGTCGATGAGTGTCAATATGTAATATATATACATAAAAAATAGTATATTTTTAGGGTAAATTACATAAATCTCATAGTTTTAATATGAAATTACAATCCATCCCTAATAAGTTTCTAATTACATTAATCCCTTAAAAATTAAAAAAAAAAACAAATACAATAATTGAAGCTTAGATACATTAATATGTAGCTCGGATACATTAAATATTGTCTCGGATACATTAAAAACTAGCTTGGATACATAATATGTAGCTCGGATACATTAATATGTAGTTCAGATACATTAAAACTAGACTCGGATACATTAAATACTGCTTCAGATACATTAAAAACTAGCTCGGATACATTAAATACTGCTTCAGATACATTAAAAACTAGCTCGGATACATTAAATATTGGCTCGGATACATTAAAGAAATAAGAGATTTTGGAGATTTTAAAAAGTAATAGGGGATAATGGAAATAAGTGAACAAAGGGTGTGTATTTCTGTAATTTGTTCATATTTTTATCTAGCTATGCAGTGTGATTTTTCGACGAAAGGGTGTCAGTCAACACCCCTCAATTGTTTGTGTCTCCGCCACTGATTGAATCCAACATAAAATTCGAATTCGCGCTAGTAAGTCTTGTATTGAAAATAAAACGCTCCCTAATAAAAGCAATTTTATATCTGAGAGAATTCGAATCCAAGATTTCTGATTAAAAATAAACGATTTATCATAACCGTTGGTAGTCAATCAAGTCCTTGGTGTTAGCAATCAGTCTCACATTTTGACCAACACAAAATGACAAAAGTAATTTAAGTCTCTATTCCCAATTACCTGTTTCTCTGATTAATATTTAAAAATATCAGACATTATATTAAAAAAATTGTTGTAGGATAGATAAATTTTTTAAACTTTAATCATAGATTTTGAATGATAGTTTTTAAAATATCTTTTTAATAAACATTTTTTAAAAGTTGAACCGAGAGTCTATTGAAAATTATGTTTGTATTTCACAAGATAACAACTTTATTCTTGATCACACGTACAATACTTTGTGGCGTCACAAGAAACATGATATTATTGTATGGTTGGTTTTATACATGATGTAAATTTGAATAGTACTCACAATTTAAAAATAAATATTAAATATCAGATGAAAAACCGAAAATAATGGATCAGTTGTTGTTCAATTAATTGTTTCAAGAAAATCTAGGTTCATAAAAAACAATTGGATTGATACGTCCACTTTTTTGCACAATCAATGTGCAAACAAATTTCTCCACGTATGTAATTTTTTAAGAATGTATTGTCCATTTGATTATCTGTATAATAACTCCTAGTCTTAATTTTTAATAAATTCATAACAAGAAACAAATTAGATAGTACATTCCAACAATAGGTGGCTAAATATTATTGATCACGAAATATGATGATATAAATTATAGAAGGTTTTTTTTTTTTAGTATAGAGATGTAAATATTAAGATGTACTGTGATTTGTTCGGACTCTTCAAAAATATCAATAGGAGCATATTGGATTTTTCAAAAATAATATTTTCTATATTTTATTTTATACGATATACTTTTATTTTTAGTCGGTTCCAAAAAGCCGGACACATTTTAATAGAGTATTTAGTAACACTTTAAATTTTAAATACTCATTCTTTCCTAAATAAGATAAGTTATAGTCACACAAACATCCGTGAGACCGTGACTTATCTTAGACCTCTAATTTCAATAAATAAATAAATTAAATTATAAGCCTAGTCAAAATAGAAAATATTTATATTTTTGAAAAAATCAACACAAATACAATACAAGATCAAAAAGTGAAGATTCCACACAACTTAGTTTCAGTCTATCAAGAATTTAAAAGTTTATTGATTTTCTAAAAAAAAATTCACTATCAAACTAATATTTCAATAATTATTTTCATTAATATAATAAATTAGTAAATCATTATCTCAAATCCACACCTCTTCAAATAACTACCATCATGTAAAATAGGATAAAAACACAACTTTCTTAAATCTTAACCATCAAAATTAGGACAAAATTACCTTTAATCAAGATCCAAATACACCCTTCATATATATAATGATGACCATGTGGTTTTGTACATTTTGAGATATTCAATCCCTTAAGCCATGGGAGACACTACTGAAAAGTCTAATGGAGAATTTCAAGAAAAAATTGATGATGGTGAAACTATAGATTCAACAAATTTCAAGAAACCATCAAAAGGGATGAATCAAGAAGAAGAAGAAGAAGAAGGGTTTACTCTTGTTGATATTTTCAATCGTTTTGTGTCAGCAATTTTTTCTTCTGATAATAATAATAATGGTCAAATTATTCAGAGGATAAAAGGGTTTGTTTCTGAAAATGTTCCTTTGCTTCATCAAGCTTCAAAGAATACTGCTCATAATGTTTACAATTGGACTCGTAAAGGAAGCCCTCTACGTGCCCTTCTTGTTGTTTCTGTAAGTTTGATTTCTGTTTGTTTTGAGATGATTTTGTGTTAAAGATTCAGTTTTTGAGTGTTAATTTGATGTGGGGTTGGCTTTGATTGGCTTATTTTACTGATTTTTCCATTTAGTTTGGTTATGGTTGTGTTAAAGATTCAGTTTTTGTGAGTAAATTTGATGTGGGGTTGGCTTTGATTGGCTTATTTGGCTAGTTTTGTTATTAGACTAGCTGAGGGAGCCCTCTGCATGCCCTTCTTGTTGTTTCTGTAAGTTCAGTTTCTGTTTATTTTGAGATACTTACATTAAAGATTCAATTTTTGAGTGTTAATTTGATGTGGGGTGGCTTTGATTGGCTTGTTTTACTGATATTTCCATTTAGTTTGGTTATGGTTGTGTTAAATTCAGTTTTTGTGAGTAAATTTGATCTGGGGTTTGCTCTGATTGCTTAATTTGCTAGTTTTGTTATTAGCTGATTAAAGAAAAGATAGACTAGCTGAGGGAGCCCTCTGCATGCCCTCCTTGTTGTTTCTTTAAGATAATTCCAGTTTGTTTTGTTATGATTTATGTCAAAGATTCAGTTTTTCAAGAGTTCATATGATATGAGGTTTGCTCTGATTGGCTTATATTACCAGTTTTTCAAATTGTCTTATGGCTTTAAGTTATTGTATCCAAGTTTTGTAGTTAGACTGAATGAAAAGAAACAAATAGACTAGCTGAGGGAGCCTTCTCCATGCACTCATTTTTGTTTCTGTAAGTTGATTCCAATTTTTTTTGTTATGATTTATATCAAAGATTCAGTTTTTGAGAGTTAATTTGATCGGGATTTGCTCTGATTGGCTTATTTTGCTGGTTTTCGAAGTAGTTCGTGGATTTATAGTTATTGTGGCATTAGCTTTTGTGTTTTTTGCTTTACTGTAAAAGAATATCCCATGTTTGCTATGGGCAAGAGTTTGGTGCTTGAGCAGCTTATGAGGATTTTGAGTTCGGATAGTTTGTGCTAATTTAATTTGGAAGTTATTTCTGGAGGAGAAATGTAGTCGTGGCCTGTGAATTGATTTTCTCGAGACCTTGAACTATAATTAGAGAAAGGAAACAAGAAGGTACAAATTTCATAGGAGACCGTTCGTCTGGTGATTTCTTTTGACAAAAGGTATAATGTTTATAATCATATTCTTGGTAGTTTTAGAAGTAGCTGATTTGACATGCATTCCCTTTGATCCAACTCCAATGAACTACTGGAATAACTTGGGGACTACTGACTGCACCTGGTAAAGGTATAGGCTCAATGGCGTTTGTAACTGGTAGAGTTGCTGCATGTGATCAGGAGATCATGAGTTTGTGCTGTGGAAACAGCCAGCCTCATGCAGAAATGCAGGGTAAGGCTGCATATAGTAGACTGTGGGAGCTTAGTGCACTGGCCTTTCCCCGGACCCCGCGCATTGTGGGAGCTTAGTGCACTGGGCTGACTCTATTGTTACATTTTCTTAGAGACCTCAATTTTACACCAAAATAAAGGATGTTAAGACATGGCTTGCTCTGTCAAGTGGTAGGCGAAAGTAATAATAATGGACCTTTATTCTACATCATTTTCATCTCTTTTTCATTCTAAGCATATTGCTCTCGTACTGACCCTATAGAGGTCGCAGACTTCATCAACACTCTCCTACCATATCCACACTTAACAATAGAAAGCCCTTCTCGGTCATCTGGCCATTCTAGATCTGTTTTATCTCCCCGTACTTCTGTTGAGAAGCACTTTTTTTTTGTCGGGAAAGCGTCCTAAATATGCAATCATGGAACAAAGGATTAGCGACCTTAATTCCTATTTCCGTTTATTTCATTTCAGAGAATATACCCAACAACCTTTTCTCTTTCCTTCTAATATTTAACTTGTCTCATCTGATTTATATGTAGTCTACTTTGTATCATGCCAAGGTAGCATATGTAACCATTATTTTTCTTTGAATACTAGTAGGACCAAACCACTAAAGGAATTGTTCATGAAGCAAAAGAGAAACGTTGACAGTTTTTATAGTAAGTTATATTGGGTTTCTTAGACTGTCAGTCGGGACAGCAAATGCTCTGAAAGGCATTTCACTTTGTCTCTTCGAATATAGCATGGCCAGAATTGTGGATATTAGGGATCTTGGTTACAAATTGGTGAAATACTGGGAATTAAAGAATTTTTACTAAAAGATGACCTACTCTTATGCCGGCTCAACACATACAATGTTTGCAGTGAGAATATATTTTTAACTTTTTGAATGTGAAGCTTCCTTTGAATTCAAATACAAAAATGAGTCATAACTCATAACTATGTTTGTCGGCATACGGATAAATCATTCAAACTACCTAGTTTATAGGAGTTCTTTCCTTTGAGCTGAGGGTCTATTGGGAAACAACCTTTCTACTCCAAAGGTAGGGGTAAGGTCTGCGTTCATACTACCCTTCTGGGATTACACTGGGCATGTTGTCGTTGTTGTTAGTTTATAGGAGTTCTTCTGTGCATGTCCTAATCTTTTTTCGTGTTTCTATTCTCTGGATAATTTTGTCGAATATGTTGATAATGTGCAAATCTCTGTGTTTGTTTATTATTGTTGAACTTAATCATTTAGAAAAAGCGGAATGCACATACTTATCAAAAAGGGGGATAGGGTGGAATACACATTCAGTGAACTGCAGAGAGAAGTCGAATACTTATTAATGTCTTGACTAGTTATGCCTTTTTGTTTTTGGTTATAAAAATCTAAGTTGCGCAGACTCTTCACTTTTGATGCCGCACCCTTGTCGGATTCTCCAAGAATACACTACTTTTGGCGAATCCGACACGCACCCCTTGACATTTTTTAAGAGTCCAAGCAACATAGATAAAAATATAAGAAGATGTAACTAGTCAAGACATTAGTATAATATCTATACAAATCAAGTTCATGGGACCCCAGTAATGAAAACCCTTCTCCCCCACTTCACACCTTGGATCAATTGCATTAAGTAAAATTTGAAGGGAGTCCATCCTCTTTCGTAAATCACCCATTAAGAACCAGTTGCATCAAGTAAAATTTGAAAGTTTTGTTCGTTTTGGGATATGACAAGATCTATGCATTGGCTAGATAGCATCCTTTAGTAAGAGTAGTCATTTCCATGGGAGCTGAAAAGAAGAGCTGAATTGTGATTCGTATAGTAGGCATTCCAGAACTATGGACCTAGCTGAATTGGAGAGCCCCAAAGTCTGAAGGTAATCGGTAAAATATCATTTGCTCAAAAACTGACTTTAAGTGTATTGCACTGTATTTTCTTTTAATGCATGTGTGAGCTTTCTGTTTTCTGCTGAAGCTTTTACCTGTTAAACTTGGCATCCCCTATGAGATTTATTGTCAAATGAAACAAAGTATTATAATAAAGCAAGTGATACTGCTATCTTTTCTACCCATGTTAAACATTTTACATTATATGAAGATGAAAACCAAGGAGAATGAGAAGGGAGTGTGTACCAAGAACTCAAGAATCTCTCCTTGCCTTATTTCGGTTAATACTTGATGTCATTCCAGTGGCTCCCTAAAAGGCACATATTTAGAAAATCATTCATCGGTTACGTGAAAAAACGAGTATGTTTAGGGTGTTTTGCACCCTTATGAACTGAGTACAAGTATGCAATGAATCCTTGTTCTAACGGTGTGGAGTGAGTGTATAGATTCTAACACAATTTTGAAGTCATTTCTTTTACCTTTCTTAGCTAGCAACTTTTCAATCGGTTCATCGTTAAAGCTGTGCTTTGAAGAACTTGAAGTCTGAGTTTCTTGTTATGTCTTGGATCTTTGTCTCTAAACTACGGAGCATTGACTTTCTCTGCTCAACCTCCTTTGCTAGCTGTTTTATTATGAATATTGATCCAGGTTATTTTTCTTTCGGAACTTCCAAGTTTGTGAGACTAAACTGTTTCTTCGACTGCTTAACATTTATGTAGGTGGGGACAATTGCTCTTCTTGCTTTGACAGGATTGCTAGTCTTTATGGTTTTCTTTGTCGCGGCAACTGTCAACGCCATTGTGATCTCACTTCTCATGTCGTTAGCGGCCGCAGGAGGATTCTTGGCTCTTTTCTTTGGCTGCTTAACTGCAATTTATATTGGGGCTCTATCAGTTGCTGTATTTGTCATTTCCACTACGACAATTATAGCAATTTTCGCTGTGATTGTGGCTACAGGTATACCGTATACAGAAGGGAGTTCGTCTTCTGCTTCAGTTAAAGCACCTTCTTTTTGTTTTTCACATGTTTTAGCTTTTATATATTTTTTGTTTTACCCATATATGAGAGTTTGTCTTCAGCGAGTATGGATTAACTCATTGCTTATACATCATACTTTTGTACCCCGTCATTTACACCCATATTCCAGATTGCTACCTCTCACGGTGCCCAGCTAGAAAAGGATAATGTAAGAGAGGTTAAAGAAATTCTAAGTTCCATAAGGCCATATATTCTTTAGAGTTAATGGTCAAGAACATACCTGAAGTATCACGTTTTTTGCGAGTTCCCTACCTGATAGTCACCAACTGTTTATCAAAAAATACACCTCAACTTCACTATCGTTCAGGTAGGAAGCTCGCATAAACGTGATACTTTAGGTATGTTTTTGCCATTATCTCTATGCCTTACGTTAAACGTATACGACGTTCATTTGGTGGTTCATGGACTAAATGTAAACATGAAGTTCTAGAAAACTTTGGTTTTGCGGGGGTGCTACTTATTACAGGGTTCAACCAAGCCAAGTCACTCGATCGAGAATAGCTCATTTTCTCCCTCTTCTCTTCAGACGTAGACTTCTTTTGTCGGAAAAACTTGTGGAAACTTGATGTTCTGTTTTCTCTGTTTACTTATGTACCAGTCCCTTCTTTTAGAGTTCACATTTCCTTATTTAACACCGAACTGTCCTTTGATTATGCCCAAATACTGAGCGTCTTGCTTCCCCTACGTCATTACATATATGAATGTCTCAATCTGGTATTCTACGTGTGCCTCAGGTTGGATTGGATTCTTCTGGACTATATGGCTAGCAACAAAGAAAAGTGCAAGTCTTGCCAAACGCTCATTGAACGCGACAGGATCAGCACTATCCGCTTACTCTTCCACCAGACATGTGCGACACAATCATGACGCGTGATGAATCATGCTTACAATCAAGAAAAGGAGAAGGCCACTTCTATGAATAAGTCTTGAATGATGAATACTACCAACTACCAATATGTATTTTGGCTTTAGTGCTTTTAACGCCTTTCGTGATGATATATAAGTATATCGTTGGTCTTTAAGCTTGTCGTGCATCTTCCATATGCGCGGAGACTAGTGAGCTTGGTTCCATGGGGCTTTTTGTTATGGTTGGAAACTGGCATGTAAATTGTTCTTGAGAAATAGATGTTATTGCCAGTTAGCAAGTATTAGTATATGTTTTTGAAATCTTGAATATGTTGAATGAGAATGTAATTTTCTGTTTGTTAAATTTGTGTAATGATAGTTGAGATTATCTTTCTTTCCAATATAGAAGGACCTTTTTATTTATTTTTCGTGTATTTCTTTCTCATGACGACTAAGAACAGGCAAATCAAAATTCACTTCGAATTTTGATCCTCAACATCCTGTTGCTCATGGTGTTTCACGATCAGAATTAGTACGAATGGTGGGTTTTCATATTATTTTCTTGAAAAGAGAGGGGCTCCCAAAGAGAGGAGAGGCAAGAGTCGTCAGCTGAATCGACTAACTAATGATAGACTAGAGAGATGGGCTCATTCGATCACTCTAAATAGGAGATTGAGAGATGGGGCTCATTCGATCAATCTAAATAGGAGATTGATTGATTGGAAAGCTCAAGCAGACCTATAGGCGGAGCTAACTCAGTAATTGTCGATCCAGTCAAATTAAATGATTTTATCTAAATTTATATACATTTTCTTGAAAAGAGAGGAGAGGCAAGAGCCGTTAGGCGAATTGACCAACAAATGATAGACTAGAGAAATGGGCTCATTTGATTGGTCTAAATAGGAGATTGGTTGAGTGGAAAGCTCAAGCAGACCTATCGGCGGAGCTAACTCATTGATTGTCGGTTCAGTCAAATTAAATAATTTTTATCTAAATTTTATATACATACTTTAAAAAAATCATTGAATACATATACATTATAACCTTAAAGAATTAGAAACATAAATCCATAAAACTCTTAAATCTTTTTGCCTCACAAGAAGAAGACATTCCATACAAGACTTTCTCTTCTATAATTTTATCGTCTTTCCTTAATTGGTATGAAATGTAAAAAAAATAAAAAGAAATTATACAACTAAAAACTAATGATTTCAAATTTAAAAGTACATATTAAAATTAAGTACAGGTCAAAAAGGTATATTAATTTAAAGGACAATGTTTGACAATTTCATTTTGGAGTCAAAATGTGGTCCCATTGACTATTTCTAAATAGTCAAAAAGTGAGTCAGAAAAATTTCTAAAATTATCAATTTTAGACCACAAACTATACTAAAATTATATATCAAAGCTCGTTACAAATTCAAAGAGTTTCATATTCGTATATATTTAGTCCAAAAATAACAAATTTTCTTGAAAAAGGAGTTCTTTTCATTTTCAATGTGGTTCTGAAATTATCCAAAAAAGGAAAAGAAAGAAAGAATAGTTTTTTAATTATAAAATTATTACCATGGTACAATTATTGAGTTGGTTTTGAAAAAAAATGAGTTTTTATATTAGTTTACTTTTGATCCATTAATATCGTGGTCATTAACAAATCGTCTGGTATTTGTCATGGCATTAACTACACTGATAATATATATATATATATATATAAATTAAAAAAATTACTGCGTTGAATATCTAACTCTTTTCAAAATATATAAAAAAAAAACAAAGATTAACAAAACCAACCTAACTCGATCATGTATTAACAAAAACATATGTTTAACCACTTTGGATAAAATATGGATGAGAAACCTAAAGAAAAATTCAATAATCCATCTCCACTTTTTTTTTCTCTTTTTTTTTTTTTTTTTTGCTTTCTTTTATATATAACCTCTTACTATTTTCATATTCATAATGCCTTCTCTCCCATTCCAAAATTACAATAAAATAAAAGATCAACTAAATCAAGATCAAATTAATTAATTAAAGTTATATTTCCAACGATTTAGTACTGCTCCATCTTAATAGCAGATGCACATTCTTTGATTCGAACGAGTCGTATTTTTTCTTCATTCATGATCCTTTTCAATCCAATCTGGTCTTCCTAATGTGAATTCCAAGCTTGGATTTTTTTGATGATCCAAATTGGAACCTATATTATAGCTTTTTTGCCTTGATGAATTGCATTCCTGCAATATAATGCAATGATAATTAAGTGAGACATTTACGAAAGATAAATATTGGTAGTATCGACTATTACTCTTACACTTAGGACAATTAGAATTAATGTCTTTCTTAAGAGTGTACATATATAAATCTTAAAAGACAGATAACATAAAGTAGTGGCATAGACAATCACTCTTATAGTTAGGACAATTAGAATGTCTTTCTTAGTCGAGTATCCAAAAATCTTGAAAGACAGATAATATAATCGACAAAACGTTTGTCAATTAATAAAAGTAAAAGAAAAGTTTTGAGGGAAAATTAAATACCTCTATTTGGTGACCTGATCTTTGTTGAGATGGAAAACTATGTGATCTCATAAGGACATTTGTATCATTGGAGTTAGCTTGCAACCATCCTTCTCTACTACTGCAAAAAAATTTCAACCAATGTGAGACACTTTAACACCTTTCGATCACCTCGTATGTCCAAGTTTGAACAACTGAAGCGTGGATAAGATGCATATAACATGATGGACGCTAGAAAGACTGATCCAAAATTTGAATATCATCATATGGTTTTAGTTTCTATAATTAATATTTATTTAGTAGATATTTTAACGTATACATAAAGTCTAAGCCAAAGCTATTAGATTCGAATCAACCTAAAATTTGTGGGAAGCAATGGAGTGCATTGTTACTAATATTTGGGGTATATAGTAAATACAAAGTCAATACTAATCTCTACCATCTTATGATGAAATTGAAAATCTTCCAAATTGACCATCTATACAATTATGAGAATAAAGAAATTAAAAAGACAGTTCAGTATACCAAATATTTCGTATTTATGCAAGATTTGAGAAAAGACTACACTCAAAACATTTTGTATTTATGTAAGATTTGAGAAAAGACTACACTTCAAAAGGTATTATAAATAACTTATCCTAATACAAATTAAACACCAATGATTACCTCCACCGAGCGAATCTATGACTTATAAATCGTACAAACACAATTTGACTGTTACTCCAAAACTCCCATCGGCATTTGAAATTGAAGTACTTGTCAATTAGTTAAACTTTCTTTTTTATATATGTAAAATAATTGTAGACTGGTCAAAGTAAAACTTTTTCAACGTATAATAGGACAAATAAAAGTCCCTTCTTCCAACTACTTGATTTTTTTTTTAAAAACGTACAAAATCCTCTTTTTAAAAACCTGCAGATATGGTATCCAATGTTTATTTTGTGGGGATTATATATTAACCCCAAATTATTTCCCGATTAAAAATAACAGAAATTGACGATAGATAAATTTTATAGCTAAACAGAAAATCATCGCTAATTCTATATAGTGATAGATTAGCATTGCATTATCATAAAATTTTGTTAGCTACAAAGTTATTAGTAACGAAATTCATAGCTAATTTTAAATATTTTGTATATAGTAACTTGATCATAACAAGATACGATTTTTTTCTACTTTTAGTAAAAAAATTTAAAAAAAAGAAAAAAAAGAAGAAGACAAACACACGTCCACAAAATTAAATAAATATTTCTTTGAGAAAAGCAAAGCACTTAAGTCAATATATTTGTCTTTATTTTATTGGACTTATTTGCCAAAATTTTCTCCTCGTGAAGAGAATAACAATAAAGCTAAAAAGAAAAAAAAGGTTAGTTTATTACTCTCTTTAATAAAAAAAATTCTAAAAATCCACAAAAGGAAAAGAATAAAGAAAAGAAAAGAAAAAAGTGCACAGTAATATAATCTTTGCTTTCTTATCAAAATCCTAATTAAATTACCATTTGAGTACTGTTTTCTCTCTTTAATATATGCTAATAGTGTAAAAAAATTATAATAATTTTTTAAGTTTAGTAAAACTCAATAACTTTAGTCGAGACGGTAACAAAGGGGATCTAGAGACTTGATTATAGATTCACATGAACCAAATAGCTTTTGTTAAGAAATCTAATAAACGTTTATAAATAATGACTATGAAACTAATTATTATTATGTTATTAACTTGAAGTCAGTATGAAAGGGTTAAAAACTCATAAATTTTACTATTAACTATCTTTTCTAGAATATAAAATTCATAACTCAAAATTCTAGCTCCACCTCTACTGTCAAATCATCTTTGCCTACTTATTTCTAAGATTATAAATTTCATTTTTCATATAATGTTACTTGAAATCTTTAAGTGACTTAATAATATAAATACTTTTTTAATGTCGTCAGCGTATATAAGTTAAATCTTTCGGGTAAAATAAGGAAAATAGTGGTAGGAAATAGATAGTACTCTAATTAATATAGCAAATTATGTAACAATTTTTTTTTTCATAAGCCTCGTAAAGAATGTCATTTTTTTTTCTTAATTAGAAACATTTAAAATTTATCTAAGACCACGAATTACCAAACTTTTTCTTTTAAAAATAATAATAATATCAAATTAAATTATATCACATAAATTGAGACGAAATGAATATAAAATATGTGATTAGAATTGGAATAAATTAAAGGAGTTGAAAGTAGAAAAAGAGGGAAAATAAAACATAACAAAAGCAAAAGCTGCCACAAGAAGTCTTTTTATTCTTTAGAAAAAAATGATGGACGTGGGTTTGCATATATATTTATAAGATTCATGCAAAAGAAAAAGAAACCTATATATCTATAGATATATCTCCCTTTATCAATGTAACTCATTACTCCATCATTACTTCAAAAGTCCTACCCTACATATTGTTCTTTCCTATTTTTCATTCGATATTCGATATTTGTATCGATAACTTACTAATCTAAATTCACGTCTAAGAATTTTAGATTAAAAGATGAAGTGCTTTCTAACAAAGACGACTAGCTACGTACACAACACTAGCTTACATAATATATCTTCTTATAATTCAACCATCACAAAAAAAAATATCGACAAGAAAATGTCGGAAATATTTATGACGGACTTTTCATCACAAATCCCTTATCGATTATCCAGACATATCCATTGAAAATTCAAGTTATGCAGCTCGACTACTCTAGATTCACATCGTGAAAGAATCACTAGGGGGAAAACTCACTAATTCGACTAATTTAAATTCATATAGTAAAAAAAATACTATGGAAGAAAAAAAAAACAACTATATAGAGGGGTTAAGAGGTCGGACTTCATTTTCAAGGGTTCAAACCAAAAACTTCTAGATAAGG